TAGATTTTTTATTTATCTCCAGCGCGTGACAATGAATTGAATATTCGGATTCGCCAGCACAATCCTTGACTTCCGAGAACAACTCCGGCGTCACTAATTCAAATCGTATATCACGTGAGCTCATTGACAAACCATCACACAGAAACGAGAGACTTCGTTTTACATTGACTCTCCGATACCGCAAGCTCCATTCAAACGCTGAACACAAAAGGACATGGTTGTTTATTTACTTTTAAGTTTTTAAAACGTTCCGACTTCAGTTTCGCTTCACACGCCCGGTATGAGACTTGGCTTCCGGCCTGGCCACGCCTCCTTGGCGTACTTCTTCTTTCGCGGGCCGGCCGACGAACCTGGTTCTTCGGGTGCTGGAAAATAAAGATTTAAAATAGAGTGAGAGAGTCTATAATTAATACGTAAAGCAAAAACTTTGTATCCCCTTTGTTTTATTGCTTAGATGGATGTACGAGCTCAAAGTCTACCTTGTGATAAGTGGAGCCCATAGACATCTACAACGTAAATGCGCCAAATGGAATTTGTCTATGCCCCGGACATGTCCATGACAGGTCAATTACTACTCACTATCAGGCAATACGTATGTATATGTTCGACGATACATAATCACCGTACGAGTTTACATCAAATCAAACCTTAACGCTTCAACAATAAAGTACATAGCGCGTTGGACTGACCTGTGGTCGGTAAGGGCGCGTGCAGCATGAACGGTTCCGGACCTTCGAGCTCCACTTCGGGCGCCGGGTTCGGCAACGATAGACCGAGCCTGAAAGGGAAAGACAAAATTTCCTTAAAAAATATATATATACATATTATATATAAATATTGCAGTACATTCGGTTGTTTAAATATTAAACTATAAACCAAATATGTTCTTGGTTATAATTACAAAACTATTTTAACAAATCGCATCTATAAGTACAAGCTAATTTATCATGTCAATATAATATTAACAAAAAAAGAATCCTACCTATGCTGATAGCCTTGAGAGGCTATTTCAGCTTCACCCAAACGTGTGTAGGTGAGCTCACAGGGCTCAAATCGGGAATGTTGCTAACACTGGCCCTAGCAAGAGCAGTGCTTCGCAGAATCTACCACCGGATCGGAAACGCGACCCACTGAGAAGATCCGGCGAGAAACTCAGTGGGCTGTGTCTATGGGTTAATTCGCTCGTCGAGCCCTTCGTCGCAAGCGACGGGTTCGGCGAGGATGGTGACCGGTGCTTGTGGTACCGAAAAGCACCGTTAATGGATCGGGGTAATTTCTCATCGCTCCATGATGATTATTAACACGAATCATACCAACGCTTACTGGTACCTTTTTCTACCATAACGAGTAGATGACGGTATTCGATAAGTATTACTCAAAGTAAACAAAACAAAACCAAAAAAAAAATTATAATAACTGTAGATTAATTATTGGTAAGCAAAAGTCATGAAGTCAAATGTGCAAAAGCAATAAGTTGATGCTTGCATTTTCAATGCAAAATTTCAAAATGGGTAATTTGACCCGTTACGGTATGTTTAGTGTTACATACCTGGCTCCAATCAAACTTAGATGCGAGCTTGGTGCAGGCAAATCCGAGTACAGATTCCCACCCCGAGATATCTCCTGCAGCCTCAGCGAGTGGTGATGTTGATCTGCAATACATTTTAACAAGTAAATATTAAAATCATTTTGTCTGAGCCCATTTAAGTTCAGTTTTGGCCTGCCCTTGTAGCTCCATCTTTTTTATTATTGATTAGATCAGGGGCTCCCAAACTTATTTTGTCTACTGCCCACTTTAAGAATAAATTCTTTTTTAGCGCCCCCATTTTTTCACCTACATAAAAACCACTATAGCGAGAGCTCAGTCGGTGTCTAAGAGTCCTAGATGAAATAACAAATCGCCTCCCAAACCTCTACACAGCGCCCCCATTTTTTTTGGGTCTCTTACCCCCCTTTAGGCCTGCAGCGCCGACAAAGGGGCGTTATCACCCACTTTGGGAAAGATTGGATTAGATGAATGGACGAGCTCACGGCCCAGCGGGTGTTAAGTGGTTACCGGAGTCCATAGACATCTGCAACGTAAATGCCGCCACCCACCTCGAGATATAAGCTCTAAGGTCTCACTTTTAACAGTACATCTGGCGTGACAGTCCTTATACGATTTAATTAAGACCCCATGTCTTAAGGTCACAACATTCAGATTACGTCTATGGGCTCCGGTTTTCCTTTAACATTTTGATTGCGATGTAGGTCACCGGTGCCCTACGTGGCCCACTGAAGTAATTATGTCGATTTCTCTCTTCGATCTTCTTACTAAGACGCCGGAATATCTAGTTAGAATCTGGCAAAGACGAATCCTAAGACACTCAGACCCCCTTGTGTAGTGACCATGTCACGTACCACTACATCAGACGGCCAGAAATGCAAAGAAGGCAAGGTTCGGCAATCCAGACGCGCTTACTAATAGAAATCGACATAATTACTTCAGTGCGCCGCGTAGGTCACCGGTGACCTACATCGCAATCAAAATGTTTAAGTGAGACCAGAGTTCACAGACGTAATCTGAATGTTGTCACCTTAAGACATGAGGTCTCAATTGAATCGTATGACAACTGTCCGGTGACTTACACGCCAGTCAGTGTGTTAACGTATATATAGGACTAGTGGCCCGCTGCGGCTCCGCTCGGATCTTTAATAAAAATTTCAAAGATATTTGAAGCTTTATTTTTTTAAGATAAAAGAACACTTATTGCGGCATAATTATAATAGTTAGACATAATATGCTGTCGCGACACTTTTTGTAAATAATAATGTGTTCCACAAAGTCGTAGTACATTATTTTATTCTTTCATCAATAGTTTTCGCAGAGCACGCGATGTAAAGAATATTTTAGGTATTTTTTTTACACCTTGGATTACATTATTGGGGTTTTAGTGAGGATACCTAATTTTTTTTCAAAGAAGATTATGTCACTATGCCTATGTGCCTATGTCACTCGGGAATAGTGTAGCTTTCAAACGGTGAAAGAATTTTTCAAATCGGTTCAGTAGCTTCGGAGCCTATTCAAGACAAACAAAAAAGCAAATTTTTCCACTTATATATTAAAGTATAGGACAAGCTGGTCCATAACTTGAACGACTTACTTTCCTCGGCGCTCTGCAACTTCAGTTTCTTGGGTATGGCGTTCGCATTCGGCACGATCGTCGACTTGACCAAGTTCCTGAAACGGCCTATGGACGGATCTATGTCTTCGGGATTGATAATGTCCACTTCTTCGTTGAAAGACACGTTTCTTTTCTGCTTCTTCGGCACGCCGACCGGCATCGAAACGGTACGCTTCGTACCGGTTGTGGGCTGAAAATCGATAGTAATATTAAGTAATGGTAAGAGTAAGGCCATCTATCGCCCAAATAGCCAAAACGAATTTCAAAGGAACTAGTAACGTCGAGAAAGATCGAGAAGTACAACGCCATCTATTGTCAGATACCGGAAACACATCGAAGCTACTCGACTTGCCCAGAATGTTCTCGATAAATCTAAGATGTCGTATCTATACTAATATATAAATCTACAGTGATTTTTACGGATGTTCCATTATAACTACTGAGCCATGCATCCAATTGACTTGAAACTTGGTATCTATGTAGATAATACGTGTACTTAATGGATAGGCTAATATTTATATGAGTTTTGGACTCCCTACGCCAGTTGCAGGGGCGTTAATGATGAGAATCTTTGTGGGGGTGAGAAATAATAATGTTAATTTTAAATTCCCAGCGAAGCGGACGGGTACTGCTAGTTACTTATATAATAGGTTCGGTATATATAACATAAATGTTTGTCTGAATGACTGAACTGCTTTAATCATACTAGGAGGGTATCATACTAGGAGGGTATCATGGACCCACCTAGGGGAAATACTGGACGGTGACATCAATCTATTTCCACTGTGCAGCCGTCATGCATGGTAACAACTATTACAGAACACAATTGGAACTTCATCTCAAGCCGTGAAATCAAATTTAACGTATCTTTGGTAACTACAAAATACTTTGTGGATCATGGATGAACGGACTCACTAGTCGATCTACATATTTACAGCAATAAATACATTAAAATGTTAAATACACTTTTTTCTGTATTAAATTTATTGTAATGGGTAATTTGTTTCCGAAAAAGCAAACAAGAATGTACTATTCACCTTGATAACATCAGTTCCATCTTCGGTTGATATACCAAGCATCGATATTCTTCTGTTGTGGGCTGTGTTGAATTCAGTCAAGTTCTGTAAATCATTGTACAAAAATACATTAACAATACACAGCTACTTAAGCTCAATAAACTATTTTAAGTTTATAATTTTAGACCACATATTGGTTAGAGGAGGAGCATAGGTCTTCATGAACCCCAAAATACTAAATCTATAACATATCCTTAGTAGCAGTATTCTAAGCTTATGCCATACCGACAAAAGCTCCAAAGCATGAAATCGAGAAAGGAGTATTGAATTGAAATCGAAATCTAACTCAATAATACACATAAATTATACTAAGAACAAAATCTTACATCTAGTTCGGTTTGTGTTTCAGGCAGGCCGAGCAATGCTCCTTCAGTTTCTGTATTAGGGAGATCCTCCATTATACCACGTGATGTCCCAGTTGGGCGTTCTCTGTGAACCATTGATACATTAATTAAAAGACACTTCATAATTCAGAATCCATGAACATGAATGAAATCATATCGTCTTCTCGCATTAAAACTGTATTATCTCAAAACTTACTAATTTTATAGGAGACTGTATAATCTCAAAACATACAATACTAATTTTACAGGAGAGTGTTTTAAAGGTTTAACAGGTTATATTTTTAATATTAATCATCTTTACAACATTATTTTTTATTTTGTACCAGTTACGTTATCTGTCTTTTAAAGTATGATAAAATTGTGTACATATTAATTTTGTTAATATTTAGTAGTGAAAATTTAAGTAAACCAACAAAAAAAGGAAACCAAAACTAAACTACGCTGTTTTAACAGTATTTATGAGAAAAATACTGGTGATACCAAATGATTTCGCATATTAACTCAATTTTGAATATTTTTGTAAATTGTACACTTTTAATGCATACAGACGATATATCCATTGCAGACATATTGGAACGGCTTATGGACTATAAGCTGTTCGGTTTCAAAATGGCTTATTCGTTTGCTCATCTAATTCTAATTTCCTCATATTTTGAGCTCACACAATACACCACTTTCCTGCATATTCCCGTTACAAAGGCTTCATGGATTCCTTTTTTTAGGGGTGGGTCAAGTTATACAACACTATTAAGATTAACTGTAGAGTATTGATGAGGGTTCTCATACATACAATATACATATCGACACTTGAAAGGCAAACGTGACTAAGCGACAATGCGTGAACTTTACAGTAGACTAATTTAAAGTTGAAATACCTGAAAACAAAATTGATATTATTATTCTCCTATGTATAGAAAGGTCAAGTTAAGTGTAGGTTTACAAAATATACACATGACTGGAATGTTACTCAACATGTCTTAAGCTTATAAATTATGTTTCTAAAAACATAATATATTTTTTGTACTTGCCTTATAATATAATTCCTGGTTGAAGCTCCAAAATGAAAATTAGAATCGATCGGTAATTGTGTTGGTTTGTTTGATTCTAAGCGCATTTTTCCAATATAAGTGCCATGAGCTAAAAAGTTTGTTATGATTTATAGTTCTACAACAATTTATAAGGGAGTGTTGTGAAACACGTAGACAGGTGAACAAACTCAGAGCCATTTAGTTTTAAGTGATTAGCCTAGTACATAGACATAAAAATACTAATAGCACGTATCCTTTATGCATGGAGCAAATGTTTAAATTTTTACTAAAAAAGAACACTCAATCTCATAAAACTAGAAGCCGTGACTGCATCCTTGTAAAAAAATATGACACCGACATGTATGTGATTGTAATAAGCCCTACTACCACTCATGGTACTTAAGTCATAGTAGTTTAAGAAGTAAAGTCAAATGATTGATTACATCTTTTCTGATTCATCTTTTTTCTTTTTATTTATTAATCTGAATGAATGAGAAATCAAAGGTTATAAAACTTGAAGCTTCTCACCAAAACGTTTATATTGTCAGAGTAAATTGAATTCACTTTTAACTTAATATCCTACAATTTAACACCAAATTTCAGCCCAAGTGAGCAAACATGACATGAAATTATGGGCCTTCATTAAATTAGTTCATGAAACATTTTTTTTGCATAGGTACCCATATTTGTGGTACAAATTCTTATTCATAAAATTATTACGACCATACTCACTGCTACCAAGGTCGACTAAAAATGATCTATTCAAATGTTTGTGGTAGACCAGAGCAGCGTGCACCCTCGAGCAGCTAGCATGATCAATGCAGAAGTCATTCATTTGAGGATTCCGTCCAAATAAATAACATTTTTTCTCGTCTATCATTAGTTTCTGAATTAATTTATCTCCTTTTAGAACGTCTAAGTGGAGTCCGGTTGGCGGCTTACCAGCCCTAAAAAGATAATCAATATGAATTATTGGTTTTTATCAATATTCATTTTTGTATTCCACTCAAAATATCATTTAGATAATATCCACTTTTCTAGTATCATATTTCAGTACCTTCCTAATCTTTGAGTAGCAGATGACTTTAAAAGTAAAATTAAAAACTGTATCTATATATTGATAGTACATGCAGTAGTGCTACATAAATTTTATAGATAAAATGCTCTATTCATTTGTAACTGATACACTGCTAAACTGCCATATTATTGTTATCAATTTTATACGTTATTTTCTACAAAGACAAAACTAATGAATGCATTTTTATTTGAAGGCACATCAGGAATTCATTAAAATAAGTAACCCGGCGTCATTATTATAAGGTTATGTTGCTTTTATACATACCAATTGGGCACTTCATAGTGATTTGCCATTATAATTAAAATTTATAACATTATTAACCAGTTTTCAATTATTTACTGGATTAATGGTTGTGTGAAAAATTAAGGTAATGAATGCACCAGTAAAACACTTTTGGCTTGATTTGTGGATCTTTGACAGATGTCTGTAAGTAATAGTAGTTTTATTTTTCTAACTGAAAAGGCAAAGGTATCATACCATACATCCTAATCTTTAATATATATTTTTATATATGAAAATGATATCATGAAATGACATGAAGTTGATTAATATGAAACATGGCATGAAATGAAATGAAAACGAAATGGAATGAAATAAGATGAGATGATATGGGATGAAACATAATCTCGGTAAAATGGTGGTCATTTAACGAGAAATATAATGAGGTGGCTATCATGAGCGCGCGCTTACTAGAGTGCGCTATGGTAATTATTGCACACGGGTGCTACCTGAACTAGAGACGCCTTTTTTTGAGGCAGCCATATTTCCTCTAAATCACTGTTTTTTTGAAAATCAGCAAAATTAAATGTAGAATACTTACGTATTTAAGAAATTATCACGTTATATCACTTTTACTTTTCTACGGAAATTCAAAAATGTTTTCTATTAGTATTTAATCGAAATAATTCTGATTGACTCAGTTGTGCTGAGGCCGAGGGTCTGAGGTTCGATTCCTACATCGCGCAAAAATATTGTGTGATGAACAGGTTTGTTCATTATCTAGCTATGTATAGATTTAAACATATTTAAGTATGTTTATCAGTTTCTGGTACCCATGACACAGGAAATTCTAAATTGAGACCAAATAACCGAGCGTGATCTGTTCCCAGTTATAATTTTTATTTAATCAACTTTGGTCCAAATAATATACTGTATGGGATATAGCCCCGTTGCCTGTTCAATGGACGAAATAGACATCTAAAGTCTATAGTAAGTGTATTATCTATGAAAAAGAGTTCAGCGAACAAAACAAATAAAAATTATGTTACTTGAAAATAAAATGAATAAAATACTTTCATAACCAAATCAATTAATTAAAAATGGTCTCTAGTGAAGAAGAACCGGAAACAAAGCAGGACGACGCTTTAAAATGGGACGTAGATATGGAGATACAATTATTTTACGCTATGGCCAACCATAAACCAGTTGGTATAAACAAACACTTCCAAATGGCCTGTATATGGGAGAAATTATCGAATTCAGTTACCAAAGAGATATCAACCCAAGATATATGGAAACACTTAGGCAGTTTATATGATTTTACGATGTTAGACGAAGCCGAACCTATACCGTTTCCCAATCATGAAATTACATTCTGTTTGCCCGAAAATGAATTTGGCGCTTTAATGAAACAGAAATCGAAGGAGGTTTTGGTTAGTGAAGAAACTGAAGGTAAATCGTTTTTTGTTCATATATTCATACTAAATTAAATATGCTGTACAAAAATGTCAAACATGAGAGACTTAATTAAGGCAACTGTAAACCTTTCATTTTATTTCATTTCACAAATTAAAGCAAATTCTTTAAATACTATTTGATGAATGAATCGCCTTCTCAATTCAGATATAATGAGAAAGATTTAAATTGGATCAAGGTGATTGTTGTAAAAGGGGTCTCAATTATTGTTGTAACTAATTTTATTTCAAAGTCTTTAACTATTAAAGGCAAAATGTAATTCTAGAAATTAATGCTGTGTATGTCATAAATTTAATAGAATCAAACAACAAACAAGATTTTTCCAATGATTAACTGTAATAGAAATTATTTAATTTTAACTTATGAGCTTGCTATAATATAAACTATTTATGTTAATAATGCCCTAAATGTATCCCCTATATATAGCTTTTGCTCGCTGCTTGCTTACTAAATACTAATGATAGTAGAGAATTAGTATATTAGTATATGTCTGTTAACATAATGTAAATCTATGAAATTATTTACAATAAATATGTAAAGTAACTTCAAATCAAAATTCTACTAAAACTACAAAATGTTGATAGAAATATCACATTGATTATATTTTGCTTTTGTGCTGTGAATAACTATAGGTACTAAATAAAGAGAAATCTAACTTTACTCTTCAATTTCGAAAACAACTTCAACAGATAAAGATGGACGAAGCCCTTCTCCTAAATCAACTCCGAGAAGCAACTCTAAAGGGACTGCTTCTAAAGACAATATGTCTAAAGGTAGAAAACTTTATAGTTTAATAATGCAGTAAACATTCATTGATTGTTAGTTATAATTAAGCAATGTTTATTTTCAATTCTTGCCTACTTCTGCAATAAATCAGTCATACTGTTCGGAAGTGGGGTAAGCATTTTATAAAATACGACCCCTTGTTTCAAGATGTGTCTCACCATGATGTGAATAAGCCCTTTAGTAAAAAAAAACTTTTACCTCTTACTTACTATAAAACACAACGACAGTTGCGTTTAAATCTTAATAACAGTATATAGGATTGTATCAACTTTTACAAAAAACACCATTACTGATTTATTAAAAAATGTTAAGACGTTGGGCGTAGTTACAACTACAATGTCCTATTTTTTGAATAATATGTCTAAACCATTTAGCGATAACAAATAACCAAATAGTTTAAACGAAAGCTATTAAATTAAAATTAAGTACTTGATCAATGTAGTGAACCCATGAGTGCTAAATAAAAATGGAACTATATACGCCTCACATCGCATTGACATTATTAACATTGAACCACAAAAATAACCAGGGCAACCGCAAACTAACTTACAGATTATATAAATTTGCTTATACGTACCTGCTTTTATGTGATAATTAATATAGTAGAATACGGTCATTTTATTCAAAATTTATAATGTAAAAGAAATCTTAAAACAATTTGTAATAATTTTGACTAGTATTCTAAATATAAAAACAGGTACTCGGAAGGACAGCATCAGTGCTCTTGCAACGAAAACACGTAAAGAAAGCGGCAGCTCACACGCGTCTACAGATACGCCGAGTATTAAGTCTGAAAAAGAATATGGTGAGTTTTCTAAACATTCCAAATTCAGACATTTTGTTTGATTGAAGTTTCCCAGGAAACAAAAGCAGGACACCAATAAATAAATAAAACCAAAAGGAAATTTGTTATAGGGGTTTTAATCGATTTCCACAGTGTGTTTCCAGAAATTTATTTTGCCACGTATCAAACAGCTTTAGTAAGCCTGAGTACTAAAGGTGTAACAATTATGCTTCATTCGCAGCGAACACTTATAAAAGTGCTTAAATATCAGAAAATGTAAGAAAATCACTGAAATTTCAGTTAATTCTAACTACCATTTTATTGGGACGTATTTCATTTTATTGAATTTCATGCTCAATTATTACAATTGCAGATAATCCACTTAATTTAAGTGCGCTCTATTTATTTATTCATTTTACAAGTATACAATAATATTTAAAAAAAACAGTAATTGAATATTTTACAAATTTTACTCTGGCAACAATGGCATTACAAGCCGATTGCCATATTAACGATAAGCGGGGGATACGACTCATCTGCATATTGTAATATTTGCTGGGCATTTTTGAAAAATAAGTCCGTTGTTACGCCCTAAAGCGCCAAGTGGGACCGTGCACGTCTGTGTCTTCTAACTTTAGACTTCAAGTGTTTAGAGCAGTTGCATCTAAAGTTGAAATTCGGTGGCCAACAAAAACTTTAAATAAAAAAAAACTATATATCGAAGCTTGAAAGGCAAACGTGACTAAGCGACAATGCGTGAACTTTACAGTAATTTAAAGTTGAAATACCTGAAAACAAAATTTATTTTAACGAATCTAGCTAGTAGCTGTAGGATTGAAATGATTTTAATAGACCTAGAAATATATTTTTTTTGCGCATCGAATATGATTATTGCCTATCATTTATGTACAAAGCAGTTATTGTCGCTTAGTCACATTTGCCTTTCAAGCGTCGATATGTACTACTATCTTTTTCTCCTGACGTGTCTTCGACTCGTAGTTACTCAAAAAGTTTTCGTACCACGTTTTCGACAATTTTTTATAGGATTCAGACTAACTTACATATCCAACAGCTGCTGCTACTTAAACAAAAGTAGTTAATGAAGGTATCCTCTCATTAAACTTTCAGATAGGAGAAGAGATTCACGCGACTCGAATGCGTCCGGGCCAAGGGACGGCTCGTCCGGCAGAAAGTCTACCTCGCACAAGGATAAAACGCCCAAATCTAAAATCAGCTCTATTGCTGGTCAGTCGAAAGGTTCTAAAATTATAATAATTAAATAAATTTAATGTACATCTTTCAACGGTTTATTGGTGGTAGGACCTCTTGTGAGTTCGCACGGGTAGGTACCACCACCCCGCCTATTTCTGCCGTGAAGCAGTAATGCGTTTCGGTTTGAAGGTTGGGGCAGCCGTTGTAACTATACTGAGACCTTAGAACTTACATCTCAAGGTGGGTGGCCCATTTACGTTGTAAATGTATATGAGCTCCAGTAACCGCTTAATACCAGGTGGGCTGTGAGCTTGTCCACCCATCTAAGCAAAAAAAAAAACTTATGCAAAGACAATCTTGTAATTTGTTTACAGTCTGGGATTCCCCTCAATTAGATGAAGAGACCGTTTCCAGACGAGGACGGCGCCGCGCTAACACATCGACGCCACCTTCAACGACGCCGGCCAAACGTCGCCGCACTTGACACAAGCTCACACATACATACCATCATTTCTTCTAATACACAACCCGGTCAAAAGGCAATCGGAAACAACCCGGGCAAAGGGGACTTAACGCGGGTGCCGTAGTCTGCCTAGTCTAGTAGTCTGCCTATGTTATTTTTAAAACCAACTACCGAGTATAAAACATTAGAAACAAACCAACATTACATAAATGGTGACGGATACTCATCATTGCAAATTTTTTTTTAATAAAATTGTTATCGGTTCCATTCTGTTGTTGGAAATGATTTCTAACATAACAATAGACAATTGGAGACCAATAACCAAACGATCGCTATTTTTGTGTAATATGATGTATATTTTTAAGCAAACAGTAAAATCTAATATTAAAAATTTTTTTAGGACCAATAACAACGCATCCTGTCATCTGTGACTTATTTATTGGGTATATATATCAGGACTTTTTGGCGGGAACGCGAGCAGTGAAGTTGTGTGATTTCGTTTTATTTTGTCTATTTAGTGTTTCTTCAGGTTTAAATGTGTAATAACGGTGGTTTATTAACTGTTTAATATCTGTGAAAGTGCACAAATGTGGGAAAATGAAACAAAGCTGCTGGACGTAACTTCTCGGGTTCCTCCAAAAAGTCCACTGAAAAAATCTCAGTAAATGACCACCATTTTACTGCAATTATATTTCATCCCATATCATCTCATTTCATTAAATTTCATCCCAGTTGATTAATGTCTCAAATTAATCATCTTCATTTCATTTCACTCCATATTATCATTTTTCATAAAATTAAGAATATAAAGTAAAATAAGACATGACTTAAAGGTCTTAGTTACCAGGTCATAAAATCTCTTAAAAAAAAAAAAATTATTGGTCAGGACTTTTTGGCGGGAACGCGAGGAGTGAAGTTGTGTGATTTGTTTTATTTTGTCTATTTAGTGTTTCTTCGGGTTTAAATGTGTAATAATGGTGGTTTATTAACTGTTTAATATCTGTGAAAGTGCACAAATGTGGGAAAATGAAACAAAGCTGCTGGACGTAACTTCTCGGGTTCCTCCAAAAAGTCCACTGAAAAAATCTCAGTAAATGACCACCATTTTACTGCAATTATATTTCATCCCATATCATCTCATTTCATTAAATTTCATCCCAGTTGATTAATGTCTCAAATTAATCATCTTCATTTCATTTCACTCCATATTATCATTTTTCATAAAATTAAGAATATAAAGTAAAATAAGACATGACTTAAAGGTCTTAGTTACCAGGTCATAAAATCTCTTAAAAAAAAAAAGTATATATATCAACAGGCTCTTTGGTGACGGCTTAACAAAGGCAGGCCGTTTGCAGAAATCGGCATGAAATGCATGATGCATTCGATGGATATCTCGTCTCGTGTCTTAGCCACGAAAGACGTCATACGTAACGAAATTCTGTTCAACCGCGTATTGATGAAAAAATAAAAATTTATTAAAAAAATGAACTATAGGCTACTAGAATATTCGATATGATGTTTTTGAACTAGTATTAGATATTGATTAGTCTAAAACTATTATTATAAGGACACATGAAATCTGATAAAATAATAATAAGATATACTTAAATATATTTTTGGAATACTTACTACATTAAAATACTTAGCGCGTAAAACAGTTTCCTTTGAAAATTTCAATTCTAATCACACCGTTGTATCTTGTAACTTAAATATTAAATCTATGTCATATATTTACAATAGAATTTAATTCTTGGATAGAATAAAGAAAACCGTACGTCATAAAAACTGATTAGAATAAAATGTAATAATAATATTACCCTTTTTTTTTAAACACCAGTGTGCTTAGTGCGATTTTCTTAACGTTCTCTATAGCGTAAAAGCTTTGGCAATTTTGTATGCAGTTGGAACAGCGCCCCTAGCGGCAAACGTACGCAAACGATCCCATTCCATACAAATATGAGCTAACTTTTACGCTATCGAGAACGTTAAAAAACTCGCACTAAGCACACAGAATTCTAATGCGGAGTTTACATTACGAAATTAGTGTCATGCATGTTGAACTCAGTTGCACGAAAGCAGTCGATATATGCGAAAGTAATTTCGTTAAAAAATTTGTGTCGCGAAATCCACAGTATCGCAGTAACCATGGCGCCTTCAGCATCAAAGCTATAATTTGCTATATTCAATGTAGCTAAAGAAATGCTTATATACCCATAAACTTAAAAAAAGACTATCAAGAAAAAAAAAAGATTGATAGATTCGAGGATGGTCAACAAGAAGGCATTTAGGTGCAAAGAAGTTAGTCTCTGAATTAGCAGATGAAGATCCTGAGAGTTATAAAAACTATTTTCGAATGACTGAAGATAATTTTGATTTTTACTGTAGGTGTTTCGGGTCCCAGAGACATCCTTGTCGCTGATGTTCATTAATAAGATCTACATTTTTTTCTGTACTCCATCGTTGGTTTGCCATTTTCAACGCTTGAAGGGCGTCCGGACTAACAATACACACGTCCGCACAGCGCAGGCCTTTTCGCGACATTAGTTTCACGTCGCGTCTAGTGCGTCTACACTATGAAATTAGTTGCATGACACTAATTTCACCAAAAAATCGCGCAGGGCACGAAACTAAATTGCATGCATGAAATTAATGCATGCATTACGAAAGTATTAAATTACACGTGAAACTGTTGGTAAAACTAATGTCACGAAATTAATTTCATGCCACTAGGAATTTGGTAATGTAAATTCGCCATAATTGTCCTACTCTCAAACCTGAACGCGTGATTGCTTCGCTGGGTTCGTTACAACGGTACAAATGTTTGATGTGCAATTGCAATTATGTAGGTTTCCAAATTTTTATACTGTAAATTTACAAAAAAAAAAGAAAAGTATGTGTACAGAATTGTCTCTTTTGAATTCTGTAGAATGAGAAAAGTGAACCTATGTCTTAAAACTGCTTTATTTTCTTAATTTAGTGTCTCTTGTCGTTTAAATTTGCGATAATGATTAAGTATAAATAAAATTTGTACAAGTTTGGATAACTGGAACAACATCACTGGACTGGTACCTTAAGGCTCCTCTTCACGATCGGCCATGATGAGCCAACAAATGATCGTTCCTCATCGCCGCCATGATCGAGCAACTCTCCTCACAATCGTGAACGTTCATTTACTGACCGTCTACTGATATGTTAAGACGTCTAGGTAATCGAGGCAAAATATGCTAGCTCATATAATAATTATCAGTATGCAGCGGCTTGGCTCTGCTCCTAGCATTGCTGAAGTCCATGGGCGACGGTAACCGCTCATCATCAGGTGGGCCGTATGCTCGTCTGTCTACAAGGGCAATAAAAACAAGTTTTCACGATTCTTTTTTCGCGCATCTTAACTAAATGACTATATGAGCTAACTAAAAATATTGCCGCAGCCACGATCTCCTCAATTTCCATCATCGATACTTAGACGTCTTAACATATCAGTAGACAGTCAGTAAATGAACGTTCACGATTGTGTGGAGAGTTGCCCGATCATGGCGACGATGATGGACGACCATTTGTTGACCCATCATGGCCGATTGTGAAGAGGAGCCATGAACACGCACACGATCATGGACCATCATTCCTTTGATCTACTGACACAACGCCAAATGCGCACGATGATACGCCATGATGGCCGATCATAGACATTTATGCCCTCTACACTGTCGTGAGTTTCTATAATCGCCCATCATGGGCGATTGTGAAGAGGAGCCATTAGTGTTTTCCTAAAAGGTCAATTAATCTTAGTAAATTCCAATTCTCTTACAAGAGTTTGTTTCATTTCATCGAAAATCTATTCTGTGGTTTTCCATTTTATAATAAAACAATGTGTTCAAGACATAGCATAAAATATAATAATGATAGGTGGTAAAAATGACAATGTGTTTGAAGTATATTTCAAATAATGGAATATGGAAAAGAAGGTTACAACATTCCTCCCCATCTACATATTAAAACAATGTGTTCAAGACATAGCATAAAATATAATAATGATAGGTGGTAAAAATGACAATGTGTTTGAAGTATATTTCAAATAATGGAATATGGAAAAGAAGGTTACAACATTCCTCCCCATCTACATCTCGTTGATCAGACGGCGGGGTGCCTGTTTAGGTCGATTACTTCGACGCGGAGCAAATGGCACAGGAGTGGAGACCGGAGCAGGTGAGGAATATAACTTCGAACGCTGTGAAGGTGAATTTGGAGAAATTTGTACATTTGTAGGCGACTGCGGTGTAGGTAATGGTACTGCTGCCGAATTCTTATTGTTAGTTAGCCTTTCGCTAATTGATGTTTCCATTCCAATGTCTGGAGAAGCAGTCGTCGGCAGCATAGAAGAATGCGCCATTTCATTCCTCGGGGTTTCTGAGGTGGAGGACTCGCGTGGCCTGATGTGATCAGCGTGTCTTCGTTTTTCTAGTCCTCCTGGTGTTGAAACAATATATGAATATTTATGTTTTCGGGATGTAATTACCGCTGGTTCCCATATTTTATCATTGCGTGTTTTAATATATACTTGGTCACTTGGTCGGTAACTCGGTGATGTGGTACGAATATTTTCTTTTACTTGTAAATACTGCATTAACCTTCTTTTGTCTGGCCGAATGTTGGAAAGTATGCAATTCAATTGTCTTCCAAACATCATCTCAGCTGGAGATTTACCAGTGGACGAGTGCGGAGTGTTTCTGTATGTAAACAGAAATTCTAATAGTCGGCGCTCGAGATTTGTGTTGTCTACCGATGCCATTCTATTTTTGAATGTTCTGACTAAACGTTCTGCCAGCCCATTTGTCCGAGGATGATATGGAGATGATGTGACATGTAAAATAGACTGTTTTGTGCAATATTCTTTAAATTCATAAGATGTAAATTGAGGTCCATTATCGGATATAATCATTTTTGGTAAGCCAAATGTACAAAATATGTTATCTAATGTAAGACAAAGTGATCTGGTGTTGATGTGTTTCATCGGTCGTATTTCCACCCATTTGGAGAGAGCGTCGCACAATACCAACCAATACGATCCTTCGAACGGTCCAGCAAAGTCGATATGGATTCTCTCCCATACTTCTTCTGGTATGGACCAGGAAAATACAGGAAGTTCAGGATTACAAGGGCGGTTCTGTTGGCATCTGGTACATTTCTTGACAAATAATTCTATGTCTTCGTCAAGGTTAGGCCACCAAACATAGTAACGTGAAAGTGCTTTCATAGCAGAAATGCCAGGGTGTCCTCGATGAAGGTATGTAAGAATGGCTTTTCGGAGTGCTGTAGGTATAACGATGCGTCCTTGCCTCATAAGTATCTTATTCTCAACAGATAATTCAGTCCGGTTTCTGTAGAATGGTTTCATTTCTGGATTGTATTCTGATTCTCTCCAGCCGGTTTTTAAATTTTGACAAACTTTTGTGAGTATATGATCCTTTGCAGTTGTTTTCATAAGTAACTGTTCTGATAGGTTAAGGTCAGTCATTCGAGTGCTCAAAAGACGTAGATCTATTTTATGTACAAGCCCTTCTGTCTCGGAGGGTTCAGTTTCAGGGTTTGGTAATCTGGAAAGGCAATCAGCTAATGTGTTATTTTCACCTTTCCTGTAGTAAATGTCATATTGATAACTTCCCACTACTAGGGCCCATCTTACCAATCGGTTATTGGCTAGTTTAGGAAGGTTGCGGCGTGCACCCATAATATGTATAAGAGGCTTATGGTCCGTAACTAGATTAAATTTCGTTCCTCTCAAGTACTGATCAAATTTTTTTATACCAAATACTATTGCTAAAGCTTCACGATCAATAACGGAATATTTCATTTCCGCTGGTCGTAGTTTCCTTGAAGCAAAAGCAATTGGCTGTTCTATGTTCGAGTCCTTGTGGAATAATACTGCACCCAATCCCTTTTCGGAAGCGTCACATGCTAAATAAAGGGGACGTTTCTCGTCAAATGCAATTAATGGTTGTGAAGACGTTATGCATTTCTTTGTATCTTCAAATATTCTGTTTTCATGATCAGTCCAACGCCATCTATTTTTTTTACTAGTTAGATCATGAAGATCCGAACAAATTCCGTGAAGATGTGGTACAAACCGTTCGTAAAAGTTAACTAGTCCTAAAAATGATCGTAGTTCTTTTGCATTACTAGGTGCTGGGGCCTTAGTTATGGCATCAATTTTAGATTTGGTTGGGTGGATGCCATGTTTATCTATTATGTGACCTAGGTATTCAATCTGATTCTGTAAGAAATTACATTTCTTTAAATTAACTTTTAGGCCAGCGTTTTGTAAGCGATCGAATACAATAGATAAAGTTTGTAAATGTTCTGAAAGATCTTTCCCTGCTATAGCTATGTCGTCAAAATATACAGCTACATTGGTGATATCGCCTAGCAGTTGATCCAGAAAATGTTGAAAAATTGAAGGAGCAGTCGATATTCCAAAAGGCATTCTATTGTATTGGAAATACCCTTTATGGGTTGACAACGTCAAGTACTTTTTCGAATCTGGTGCTATTTCAAATTGTAAGTATGCGTCTTTAAGGTCTATTTTTGAAAATAATTTACCGTTTGCGAGATTTTGGCGTAGTTGATCGAAAATCGGAACTGGGTGTAGATGTTTAATAAGTACTGGATTAAGTGTAGTTCTGTAGTCTCCACATATCCTAATTTCCCCTGTAGATTTCAGAATGTTAACTGTGGGTGTAGCCCATTCAATAGGTGTAATATTAGGATCTACTTTTTCCACTATCCCTTCTGAGATCAGACGATCTAACTCCCTTTCTATATTCTTTTTCATGCTGAATTTTATAGGCCGTGCAGGAAGGTGGATCGGTTCAGCTTCTGGTTTGACATGTATGTTTACGTAATAATTGTTAACTTTTCCTAGTTTTCCATCAAAGAGTTGTACATGTTTATCCAATATTTGTTTAAGAGTCATCGGTGTTGATGTTTTGATGGAGTATACTGGTTTTGGAAATTCCATTTCAAAAACTTCACTCCAATGTAAACCAAATAACATTGGTTTGGCATTTTTCATTACGACCACAGGTAGAAGTTTTTGCAGTCCGTCGACTTCGACTGTTACTTTTGTAATTCCCTTTGTTTTTAAGTTTGTGTTACCGTAGGCCTTAAGTTTCGGGGCGGGTTGTAAAGATGGTGATCCTAATTTTTTCCATAATGTCGTGTTTATTATTGAATACGCAGAGCCGGGGTCCCAATCCATAGTGCAAGGTATGTCATTGATGCGTACATCGATTTGTTTGCATTCTCTCTTACGTGTACCCAAGACGCTGCAGATAACTTCATCATCGCTTTCTTCCTTGTTATTACTGATAGATGATGATGATGATGTTGAGGACTTATGAGGTCTTGTTATTTTTTTAATTGATTTTCGGCTCCCTTCTGAATAGCTGATGTATGCCCGTCCAGACTTAATGCAACAACTCTCAAAGTGTGCTTTCGTGTTACATTCTTTACACATATGGTCCTTGGCTGAGCACTGTGATAGGCTGTGCCGTTCTTTCTTTCCACAGCGTAAACAATGCATTGGATTTAATTTTCGTGTTGTATTTTGATGTAATGGTACGGTTTTGGTTTTGCTCCTATTTATTTTTTTAATACTTGTTCGTGGTGTGTCTTGTTCTGCCTGTTCTCTTGATTGAGAGATTGTAAAAATTTGTTGGAAGGTTACTTCTCGTGGTATTCCGTCTACCATTTGAACTAAATCAGGCCATTTTTGTTTCAAGTCGGTTTCTAAATCTGGATGATTCAATCCAGTGGCAAAGCGGTCACGTAATTGTCGTTCCAGGAAGTCATTAGTGTAGCCACAATCCCGACTAAGACCTTTTAATCTGTTTGCATAGTGTTCCATCGTTTCATTTTGTTCTCTAGTGCAATTCCAAAATTCTGTTAAGGCTCTATACCTCGTCGTTTTTATGCGATAGAGGTCTAATAATTTGTTACAAATTTCGCTGTATGTAGCTATATCGAAATCAGGCGTTAAAGCTACTTTTAATTCGTGGAATATCTCTGGTGTTAGTAAATTCAGAAGCAAATCTTTCTGTAAGTCGCTGTTATCGATATCAAGAATTTTGCATTTGTTTTCGAAAAAATCAATGTAATCGTCAATTCTGAATGTAACTGGATTGTATTTATCCATATTGAAATGTTGGATTATACTTATCTTGTTATCCGTATCATGTTTTGTAAAAGAGTCGTTCGTCACGCTCTTGGCTGTTGTATTGCAAACTGTTGGTACCAACAATTTCAAGATTTGTAAAATCTGCTCTTGCTGATTTTGTTGTGCATGTAAAAATAATGCGAACTGTTCATCGTTCATCTTAATTTCTTTTAACTCGTCGCCAATATAATAAAACAATGTGTTCAAGACATAGCATAAAATATAATAATGATAGGTGGTAAAAATGACAATGTGTTTGAAGTATATTTCAAATAATGGAATATGGAAAAGAAGGTTACAACACATTTGACCTAAAAACGTTTCATGATTTTAATACATAATTATGATCCATTTTACTTTGCATAAATAAAGTTGATTTTGGTCTCTTTTTTTTATTTGGCTGCATGGGCTGCGCCTTCTTTGCGTCTACATAGATAAAACAGTAAATTTATCAAAACACGAGTCTTTTCAATTCACTCTATGATTCAATTGTTGTGTTCATAGGTAGTCTTATTTATTTTTATAATGGTGTTATTAAAATTACGATGAAGCTATCCATATACCTAGGTTATATTCGTGTATAATTTTAGTACGTTTTGCATTCAAGTGGAATATTTGTTTTAAATTTTTTATAATGCAATGCTTAACAGACTTAGATTTTACTATAATTTTATAGCAGTGATGTTTGATTATCAAATCTACTTTAAAGAATACAACATTATCTATGACGTAGTAGAAACTTCGTAGTAGATGCGAAAACTACACAAGACTACAGTAATTGTTATAGCACGGTTTTAAATTGTGTTGTGCAAATCATTTCATGAAAAGATGGCTTTGCCAGTAGCACAACCTGCTGAAGTTCTACGTGCATGGCAAAAAGACGATCAATACGAAAAACAACTGGCCGATTCCATATCTAAACTGTTACCATTACAGCACGGTTCAAAAGCTATTCCAATATCCTCTTTGCTTTATAAATCATTTACAACCTTAAAAGACCTACAGACTCTAGGCGAAGAGTACTCTGGAATCGTCCAAGTAGATGATAGCTACCACAAACTGCCAAGTTACTACGCACGTTTAGCAAGCGTATTATTATCAACTTTTGGTGAAAATCTAACTCGAAGATTTGTAAATCATGTTGGAAAAAAAATTGAACAAAATCGATCACTGACATCTGAAGCCCAAGATCTCTTTTTGATTGCAGTAAAGACTCTTGGTGATGTTTTGCCACAGATACAAAGTATTCACAGGGCATTATCTTACATCTGCGGAGGACCTTTACAGATAGGTAAAAATCTTACTGGCATTGACTATGTTCATGTTAGACCTGCTGCAACTGCTTCATATGCTCATTTAAATTTACTAGGCTACATAACATTACTGCATGCATTTGTATGCTGCGGACAAAGTGTTTACTTAGCGAAAAAACATTTGGACCAATTAAAAGAAATTCCCAATGAAGTGGATAATGAAAAGACATGTGTTGCATGCTTGGAGGAAATATTACAACCTTGTGTTCTTCAGTGTGGCCATATATTCTGCCATCAATGTTGCTATGGCGCACTAAACAGTTGTGCATTGTGCAGGACACCATTTACAAAGAATACTGTTGTACCACTAATGAACTATTATCCTGGAGGTTAAAATTCATTGTGATTGTTTAAAAACAAAATTGTTTATTGTTTTTTATATTGCACTTATAAACTTCATATTTTTGCAAGTTATGGTTTCATTAATGGTTACGGTTTAAAATAAAAGAAAACTGTTAATGTATTTTTTTGTTATTACCATAACTTAAGGGTCATAGACATAAGAAATATTAAAATAAAATATTTACAAATAAATTTATTTCATTTATAATAAAAATACAAAATAACTCAAATATTAATTAATTATCTTTTTATTTGTTTATTTTATGAACATTATAAATAATGGGATAATACAGAAGTTAATACATGTGTTAGTTAAAAGAAAAAGTAAAAAAAAAACAATTTTAATGTAGCAATATGTACTCAGTAAAAGTATTTTTGGTGGAGATAGTATCTATCGAGAACTTATCAGTAAGCAAATAAACAGATTTAGGAGCCCTCATGATAAAATAATCATTGGAAAACTTAAGCTGCCAGCGGTGTATAAACAAAATCATATGTTTATTAAACTTTTATTCTATGACATTATTATTAATAGTCCATTATTTAATAATTATAAAATTTTTAAATGCATTAGACATGGCCAACATCATTAGGAATTATCATAAACAAGTTAAAATACTTTCTTTTCTATCATTTTTTCAAACATTTAATAAATACATAGGCACTGATTTTCTTATTTAAGCTTAAAAACCATAGTGTTTGCTAACTAGAAAGTTACAGAAATGTTCTAGGATTTTCCTAAGCCGAGGTTGTACTCCTCAATTAAATATTATGTACATATTATTTTATCACATGTATTTTTAAGTCACTGTAAAATATAAAACTATTAAACAAAATAAATAATACGAGTTAGATTTGTGGGCATAAGTGGTTTTTTTATGAAGAATCTTGTAAAAACTTTATGGCCCGAATGTTTTTCAATCAATAAACATTATTCAACACGTAAGAGTTCAACGTCAAAAATTAGAGTAGCGTTTGGTGGTATTACACCTGGATGGCCTCTGGAACCATAGGCAAAGTCAGGAGAGCACGTCAATTTCGCTCTTTCCCCTACAGACATCTAAAAAAATGCGAAAGCATTACATACACTCAGTATAAAATATCATATTCCTATTGATTTTTATTTCAAAGATACGAACCTTTGCTAATCCTTGATCCCATCCTTTAATGACATCACCTTTGCCTAATGTGAATTTAAAAGGTTGCCCTCTATCTCGAGATGAATCGAATTTCTTTCCGTTTTGTAACGTTCCAGTGTAGTGAACGACTACAGTTTGGCCCGGTTTTGGGTAAGTTGATCCTATAAAAATATATTAATGCGATGGTATTACAGACTGGATCTTGTATGAAATTAATGTCGATAAGGCTACAAACCATTTCCAGGTGAAATAGTTTCCACGTCGACTCCCATGGTTTTATAATGTTAAAACAGTGTTATAATTGAGGGATTACAACTACGAGTTAATAGCTCTTTATGTGAAAACGTAATTAAATAGGTAGGTACCTAGTAGTAGTAAGTAGCCAAACTATGGCAGTTTATGGCATCAGACATGCAAAATGCGAATAATATACACAACAAATCATAGACAGTAGTAGTTTTATTTTTCGAACTGGAAAGGCAAAGGTATTATACCATACAGCGTAATCTTTTATATATTTTTAATATATGAAAAATGATATTATGAAATGAAATGAAGTTAATTAATATGAAACATGGCATGAAATGGAATGAAATGAAGTGAGATGAGATGATATGAGATGAAATTAATCTCAGTAAAATGGTGGCCATTTACTGAGACTTTTTCAGTGGACTTTTTGGAGGATCCCGAGAAGTTACGCTCAGCGGCTTTTTTTCATTTTTCCAACTTTGTGCACTTTTACAGACACTAAACAGTTACTAAATCACCGTTATTACACATTTAAACCTGAAGAAACACTAAATAGATAAAATAAAACAAAACACACAACTTCACTCCTCGCATTCCCGCCAAAAAGTCCAAAGGCATATTTAATTATTATTTTTAAGGGATTTTATGACATGTTATTTAAGACCTTTATCATCATGTCTTATTTTAATTTATATTCTTATTTTTATGAAAAATGATAAAAGATCTTAGTTAGCATAAAATCTCAAAATATATATATGTATATCTGTGCACTTTTTGGCGGGAACGCGAGGAGTGAATTATTTTGTTTATTTAGTGTTTCGTCGAGTTTAAATGTGTATTAACGGTGATTTGTTAACTATTTAGTGTCTGTGAAAGTGCACAAAGGTGGAAAAATGAAAAAAAGCCGCTGAGCGTAACTTCCCTTCTTCTTCTTCTCAGTCGGACACTCTTGTCAGAGTGGTCGTGGTTGCGTTGACACTATATGTGCAGAAGGACCTGTTAGGTCACCCATGCTCCCAACAACCACCCTCCAGGCAATGTGCTTCTAGGTCTGGCGGTTCAAAGCGTTACGAGTACATTCGACCATAGTGGACTCAGTTGCCTTCTTTATTAGGTCAGTCCAGCGGGTCGGTGAGCGGCCGCGTGATCTTCTGCCTTCCACCCGGCCCTGGACTACCAGTCTCTCCATCGAGTGCTCTTTTCTGGAGATGTGACCAAAGAATTTTTTTTTATTGCCCTTGTAGGCAGACGAGCATACGGCCCAACTGATGGTGAGTGGTTACCGTTGCCCATGGACTTCAGCAATGCCAGGGGCAGAGCCAAGCCGCTGCCTACCGCTTAATACTCTCCACAAGCCTCGTTTGTAGAAGGACATGTCATAGCGCTCGGGAAACACCGTGGAGGGGAGCTCATTCCATAGCCGGATGGTACGTGGCAAAAAAGACCTCTGGAAACGCACTGTGGATGACCGCAGTGGCTCCAGGTAGTAAGGATGAACTCTACTCCGGTGGCGGGCGGTGCGATGGTAAAAACAAGATGCCGGTATCATCTCGAACAATTCCTCAGAGCACTCCCCATGGAACATACGGTACAAAATACAGAGGGAACCGAAGTCCCTCCGCAGACCCAGAGGTTCCAAACGATCCGCTTAAAGCCCTCAGTAGCACTGTTGACGAAAGTCGGTCTTTGATACCGAGTTCTTTGAGGATGGATGCATTGGTGCGGAATGCCATCCATGGGATCCTTAGGAGGCGTCTCCAGCACCACATCTCCAGTGCATCGATTTTACGGTGATCCTGCAATCTTAGAGACCATGGAGAGGTTTCGGCTCCATAGAGAAAGATTGGAAACACAAGACATTTCATCAATCTGACCTTAGTCTTCTTGGTAATCCTCCTATCCTTCCAAATCTTTCCCAGCCGTTCCACTGCTGACCTGGTAATGGCGCATCGTCGTCTGATCTCTTCACCACATCATCCAGTGCTTATCTCAAGCACTCAGAGCCGAGATATCTTATTATTTGACGCTGGCTAATGCACAAACCGTGCCGAAGCCAAAGACTAAGGAAGAAGAAGAAACGTGATTTAAATTTTACATTAATTTACAAATTGGCTCAACTTTATAAACAATCTCTTTCATTGCCTACTCACAAATAAAACTGATAAATTGCATCATTGACAAAAATGGAGTTCAATGATACAACCAAAACAGAGGACACATTAACTTTAAAAAAATATGAAAATTTCACAAAAGACGAAATGATAGAAATAAAACATTTTTCCAATTCAGATCATGAAAGTAATGTAAGAAAAGAAGATTCAGATAAAACACAACAAAAGGATGAGAGATATGATAATCCATTCAGAGAAGAAAAAACTGAAATAAATAATTCTATTATAGAAATGACGGAAAGCAGTGAAAAGCGAGATAGTAAAGATGACAGCACGAATAGTTCGTATAATAGTCGTGAGAACTATTCCCCCATGAAAATAGATTTCATGGCTCTTGAGGAGAATCATGAATATGACACATTCGGTGACAACAACACAGTTTATAGGAAGTATAAGCTTCGCAAGAGAACATCTAAACCAGTGTAAGTTGAGCAAATTTTCTCCTGTGGCATAAAACTTGACATGTTGACAACAATTTTTCTAATGAAATACGTACTCAACAAATGTTCACGGTTGACTTCCACGGTGAAGGAATAACATCGTGTAATAAAAATCAAACCCGCAAAATTATAATTTGCGTAATTACTGGTGGTAGGACCTCTTGTGAGTCCGCGCGGGTAGGTACCACCACCGTCCTATTTCTGCCATGAAGCAGTAATGCGTTTCGGCTTGAAGGGTGGGGCAGCCGTTGTAACTATACTGAGAACTTAGAACTTATATCTCAAGGTGGGTGGCGCATTTACGTTGTAGATGTCTATGGGCTCTAGTAACCACCTAACACCAGGTGGGCTGTGAGCTCGTCCACCCATCTAGGCAATAAAAAAAAAAAAAAAATGATATGAGGGAAAAGGAGTGGCCGTGCCTGTAAAGGATGCCTGTTCTTAAAAAGATCCATGTGCCCATGCAGTCACTGGATGATGGAGCCATACTGCCAAGCATTCATGTATTACTGGCGGAACACACTGAACACGACTTTCGAAACAGTAAAATTTTGCTTTAGAAATGTACTTATAAAATTCCCAATCATACTTATCTGATGTGGTCCATTTATTCATCTAATTATTTTTTTGTCATAATTTTTTCATAATTTCATTATTTCATAGATTTAATCAACCAAACTGCGTAACTTAATCGTACGAAAATGTAGCATTCCCTTTTTTTATTATTTGGGAAAGGAGCTGTGAAGTGTATGTTTCCCACCTGTTTAAATTTTGTACTGTTTTCAGTGTTGAATATCAAATAGATGAATTTGAAGAAGTCAAAGATATTAAAAAGAGAATTTCAAATATAGAACCAGAAATGAATACATGTACATTTTGTTCTATGGAATTTTCTAATAAACAAGGATACAACAATCACATGAGAATACATAAAAATAAAAGCTCAACATACAAATGTGCACAGTGCTTCCAAACTTTCACAGAAAACAATGATTTGATAAGTCATAAAGAAATCCATAATGATGAATCATTTTTTATTTGCAATAAATGCCCAGTGGCATTTACAAATAACTGTGACTATCTCATTCACAAGGCCAGTCACAACACAAAAAAGGTTTTTACTTGTGAAGAATGCGAACGGACATATTCAAATAAAACAAGCATCGTAAAACATATTGAAACACACTTTGATAGAAGAACGAAATGTCATCTGTGTTTTAAAATGATAAAAAATTACAATTTACAAAGTCATCTGAGAAATCACGAAACGTCTTATGAATGTGTTGAATGTGGAAAATGTCTTGTCAACAAATCAGATTACAATTTGCATATGACCATGCATACTGGCATCAAATTATTCCAATGCCTTTACTGTGGAAAAGGTTTTGCAAACAATCAGCAAAGGAACAACCATACAAGGGTTCATACAAATGAACGCCCCTATGAATGCAAGATTTGTTTCCAAAAGTTCAAAGACACAATAGGATTGCAGCGCCATAAAGTAACTCATGACACTGTAAAAAGACACCAATGCAATGTTTGTGGCAAAAAATATTTTCATTTACAACAACTAAGAACGCATTCACGTATTCATAGTGACTTTTCTCGGTACACATGTCAGATGTGTGGAAAACGCTTCCCTAATGCTGCAGGTCTAAAAACTCACATACTGTACATACATAAAAAAGACAGACCTTACAAATGTGAATACTGTAATTACAGTTTTATAATAAAAGGGCAGTTGATAAGACATTGCAAATCAAAACGGCATAATAATAATGTGTATGGCTTTATGCAAAAGGATAAATAAGGAATTAAAATACCAATAAAAAATGCTCTTTCTGTATTTGAATAAAAACAACATAACTTTAGACTCTTACAGGTTAAGACTAGGTATAAGGTTTATAAAGTCTTTGCTTAAAAACGCGTCTTTTTATTAAACCCATAAAATCCTCAAAAATCCCTCTAGCACGTAAATAATTTTCCTATATTCTATTTGACAAGATATTCCTCTTACTGATTGAGTTCACATATCATATTAGTAAATTTTGAGTTATTAATGCCGAACCTTTCGTCGCAAGCGACGAGTTCGACGAGAACGGTGACAGGTGCTTGAGGTACCTAACTAAAAGCACTGTTAGTGGATCGGAAGGATTCGAAATGATGGGCTTAAGGCGGCGTGGATTGTTTACCATCGCATAATCTCGACAACAGTACCCATGTATCTAAAATTGTAACAAATTCGTCGAACGTAGTTTCACGGGATTTTTTAAAAGTTCATTCAAGTTGTAGTTAAGTCCCACCGTTTTTCTGAGACGTTATTTTGTTTACTAAAAATTTAACCCCTTTATCAAATTATGTTTGTTAATTTTATTTCGTTTCGCTCCATTTCGCTTTTCGACTGTCGTATAACAAATAAGGGTTAAATTTAAATAAATATCATAAAAAAAGCTATTGAAGTATGTATGGACTTTGTTCCCTATGCGTTACCGACTATTCAGGAGAAATAAAAAAAATATAACCAAGGACTGTTATTTTTAAATATAAAAACAGTGGAGCTTTTGTTTTCGTTTCTTTAAATAATAAAGTTTTGTATTCGCAGTTTAGATAGACATTTGATATGATTTTATTAGATTTTTAATGGTGACCAAGTTGTATTTATTCTCTGAGAATCCATAATGGAAGTTGACAGTGTTGATAATTGGTGTACTAACTCCGATAATGGCAAATTTGCGAACTTAAAAGCTTTTGTAACAGCCGCTCGTGAATTTGAAGCAACGCATAGTGAATCTGCACTTAATTTAATGACTCGGTATCTTGGAGTAAGTGAAATGTATTTAAAAATGGCACGTTCACAAATACTCAATTTTACTCTGAAAACCTTAGAATGTTTATGATTCCTGCCTAAATTTCAGTTAATTGCATCTTCCTGTGACTTAACCATATTCTCTCCTGGCCGTTCCGAAGTTTGCGCGTTCTTCAGTTCTTTGTGGAGAGTAATGTGTGATGGGCGAGGTCCTCATTGGGCAGGAGTAGCAGTGCTGTCACGTGCTGCAGCGGAGCCAAGCGCGAGGCATGCACTCACCCATACATACAAGTTTGTATACATCTGAACTTTAAATTTATAACGCGCACATCCCTAATTGTTACTCCTTGTGGGTCTTTGAGGGTTTGAGGGGCATGCATGCAGGCGGAGCGGCAGAGACGCCGCCGGCCGACGTCTAAGCTTCCAGTCGATATAGACAAGTGCTTAATTGTGCTTACCTCAATTACTTTCTTTAAGTTCAAGGTTGCTTGTTCGCACGTAATTAATACCTTAAGCTGTGATCGTTTTTTAGAAATTACAAAATATAGACTGCCAGAAACCTTGATAACCTAGGTAGATCTAGGTTTCCCAGCTGATTGTTGTGCTACAATATAATAAATTATGAGAAACACCATGTTGGTTGAATTGTGTCACGAAATTATGTGACTTCTAGACCAACACACTCAAATTGGATGATAGAAGTCAAGTAATGACCTCTAGCAGTAATTAATTAACACCAAGCATGCCCAGGGCTTACTGCCCATATAAAAAATTCATGTTTTTCATCTCTATTACCTATACCATGTAAAATTCATATTAGTGTGTTAAATTGGCTAAAAAATCGTTAGGCACCGATTTATATAGAGATTTTAATAGGAGTAAAAATAGTGATAACTAAGATGACGGGTTTTTTAGGGATTGATCGTTGGGCAGTAATCTTACAGCATGCTTAGGCTTTTACTATTGCTGAAATTGTAATAATTTAATTTTATTTCAGATTTATAGCAATATTGTCACGGCTGTTAACAGATTCAATATCAAATGAGAAGAAAATAAAATTACTATCTGTAATGCAGGTATGTGCTTGTAAATTAACATTTAAAATATGCCTAGCTTGTGACTGTTATATCATAAATTAACTTATTATTGTATATGAATAATGGCGGCTACTGGAAATACTTCTTCAGCTTAACATTATCTAATTTTTTTCAATTGAAAATCAATATTTAGTTTAAGAAGAAAAATTAGTGACTATATTTTTTTATATATCGTCGCTGTCAAACCAAAATCTGCTATGTGCAAAAACTCTATTTTGAATTAATGAGTAAAAACATTTTATGAAGGTGAATTTTTAAGAACTATATCAAATGAAAGCTATAGATAAATATTAAAGCTATAGACACATAACGGTTTTTTTTATATGGTAGATAGGGCTGTGAACTACACGAAAAAGTCAAAAAGTAAAAATCTCAAAAAGTGCACATAGCAGATTTTGGTTTGATAACAACGATTACTATTATTATTTAGTGATTACTAGTAAACACAAGGTGCTTCTAAACTTTGTTAATTTTGAATCTTGTAAAGGAAACAATCATTAAATATTACTGACCTGAATTGTATTAACAATTATATCGCCCAGACTATCAGTTGACCAGGGAATATTTTCTGGGAGAGATAGCATAGATCTCATATTTGTTCTTAACAAATAATCACTGCTACTATTACACACATTATTTTAATGAATGTGTAGTTTTCAAGGTGCTTTATGTGTGACTATTTATTAAATAATATAAAAAACTTCTTTTCATAACTGGAAATTATTATTGCTATCTAAGACCTCAGAAAATACTGAAACTATGTATGTCACATTTCTAAGCATGTGTGATATATTGCTCTCTTACTAAAATCAATTTTGTTTCTTTACCCTACAATATAGTTTAACTAATCAAACATATTTTATTATAGGATATTTCATATGGTATCAAAATCAGCTGGCAAGAATCATATCTGACAAGTTTGATGAAACAGTTGACCGATTGGATAAGACAGCCGATGACAGAACCACACCATAAAACAATTGGTCACAAGTCACTGACAGTGCTTGTTAATGTGTGTTACGGAAACCTGCCTGCAATATATGCTCTAATGAGGACAGTAGACACAAAAGAATTTGTTGTGCATTTGATTAGTTTAAAGGTAAGCAATATTTATTTGTTTCCTAAGACCCTTGTAATGTTATTATTGGCGCATTTACATTGTCTATGGGTTCTGGTAACCACTTAACACCAGGTGGGCTGTGAGCTCATCCATCCAACTAAGCAATAAATAAAAAAATCTCAATTCCATCCGAAATAGTACTTATCCAAATATTGACCTTGAATATTTCTAGAAGGGCATATTTTTAATTTGGATGGTTAGTTACTACATAAAGCATGCATGCATTCTGATTGGAAGGGTAGCATAATTGCTAATAGATACCTTGTTAATGCTGACAAAAAGCCAAACTATCTAGACCATTTGTACTGTATGTGGCCAATACAAACCAAATATTGTTAGTTGGTTACTAAAATAATATGTGTAGATTTATCTATAGGCTCACATCTTACTTGGTGTTAAGTGGTTACCAAAGCACATTGATACCTTGAAGTCGTGGTCTAAAGGTAAAGATGCCCTGTTGAATTCTGTGAGGAGGCAGCCTCCTTCCGGTGATGGTCACGGGGCGACCTTAGGGTGTTGAGACTGCGCCGCACGCTACCGTCACTCTAGCGCGCTGGGATCAGGAGGACGGGACGACGCGTCGGCGGCTGCGGACTGCGATGTCGTCGTCGTCGCTGTCGTCGCCGAACATACTGTGGAAGAGCAACCCGGTCGGCGGTGTATCGCGTTCCGACCCGGCAGGCTGGTTCTGACCCAGCGGGTTATCCCGGAACACCACGGAATACCAGCGGCATAGCCCGGGCGGCCTGGTAGGGCCACCGTACCGCGGAGACCAGTGTCGTTGGTCGTCGACTATCGCCTCCACAACCCGTCAGTCGGGCGTCCTCGGGATGGCGCTGCCGGTCTGTTTGTAGTGTTGACCGTGGGAACTTCCCTACTCTGACTGGGTTCTGATCCCGGACGGAGATCGGACGTCGGGTGTAAGAGTGTAGGGGAGAGAGGGCATAGGCAGAATAGTGGTTAGTCACAGCGGGTCACAGCCCACTGAGTTTCTTGCCGGATCTTCTCAGTGGGTCGCGTTTCCGATCCGGTGGTAGATTCTGCGAAGCACGACTCTTGCTACGGTTAGTGTTAGCAACGTCGTCAGGTTTGAGCCCCGTGAGCTCACCTACTAGTTAAGGTTACGCTGGAATAGCCTCTCAAGACTATACCAGCTTAGGTAGGAAAAAAAAAAGCGGGTCACAATGTACCTTAATGCAAGTGTGCCTAATATTTTTTTATTACTTAAAAAAAGCTTAAAAAGAAGTTCTGTTACTTGAAAGTACTGCAAACTGTTGGAGATGAAATTCTAAAATTTATCAAAAAAAGGTGCCAAGCATTATTTTTGCCTTGCAGGACGGGGGCTATGGTGGTGTCGAAGTATGTAGATTATTGTTGTGCTTGTCCGGAGCAACTAGAGGAACAGCTGTGAGGCAACCTGACGCGCATAGCTACCTGTGCTGTACTATGAGAACTTTCAAAAAAGCTGTTGTGTAAGAATGTTATTTGTTAAATTCCTAATCATTTTGGCCACATATGAGGATGAAATTGTAACTTTGACTTCATAAGAAACTGTCTCATTCAGAAGAGATTAGTAACCAGGTTTTTTATGATTCTGTAGCTGATAGTTACAATAAATAAGCATCTGCCAGTGGTGTGACGCGTTTTCAAATGTTGACTACCAATTAAAGTTGAGACCAATCAGTACCCAACCATCTCCAAAACTTAACAATCCATCTTGTACTCTAAAAAGTACCATGCTTGATTATTGTGCCATAGGGTTCTGTCTTTAAATCCTGCTTTAAGTCAATATATATCTCTTTAATTAAATATATTTGGTAAAAATGTATGTGAAATGTAAACCAGTTTGAACTTAAATGTATCTCATAATCTTAAACTTAATTCTTTGTTTTTTAATAAACTTTCTTTTCCAGAGACCGTGATGCGACACAGTTGCTGCACGCGTACACATTTCTAAACGATCTCTGCTCAGAATCGAACTTAAGGGAATTTGTTTTGACATACCCTCATTTTAGTGCTGCGCTTACGAATTCTCTTAAGGTACCTTTTATTTATTTTTTGCTTAGATGGGTGGACGATCTTACAGCCCACCTAGTGTTAAGTGGTTACTGGAGCCCATAGACATCTACAACGTACATGCGCTACTCACCTTGAGATATAAGTTCTAGGATCTCAGTACAGCTACAACGGCTATCCCACCCTTCAAACCGTAACGCATTACTGCTTCACGGCAGAAATAGGCAGGGCGGTGGTACCTACCCGCGCGGACTCACAAGAGGTCCTACCACCAGTAAATAAGGTACCTATTGAATTGATAAACTCCGACACTGTTTGTTCAATCAATAAAGTTGAAACTTTGAACAGTTGTCAATTGAGTTACAGGTATGGTTTTTGCCAAAGTACCATTAACTTAATATTAACATAATAATATGGTCGCAAGAGAGACACTTTAAAAAAATGGGTGGATATTCTATTCAACAAAAATTAATATAACAATAACATAAAAAATCTATATTATGTAAAAATGAATTGCTGTTCGTTAGTCTCGTTAAAACTCGAGAACGGCTGGACCGATTTGGCTAATTTTGGTCTTGAATTATTTGTGGAAGTCCAGAGAAGGTTTAAAAGGTATATAAATATGAAAATGCTCGGAATTAAATAAAAATATCAATTTTACGGACGGATTCCTTTCGTTTGTTTTAAGTTTATTTTACCACTATATACAAAGGTTTAGGTCTTTTATTTATCGATTGAGGCACTACGAAGTCTGCCGGGTCAGCTAGTCATAAATAAAATATATTCATCATAAAATTTTGTATTACAACCCAAATTTTTTAGTATGGCGTTGATGTCTGCGCACGCTACTACTATATTTATTTTTAATTTCAGGACGTAGACGATCTGGTGAGCACAGCTCTTGATGATGTTGGTGAACCAGAGTGCGCGAGCGCTTGTCTTAAGCACGTACTCAAATTTCTAACTGTGCTTTCTGGATTAGGTGAGCTACCTTTAAAATTGTCAATTTTTTTAATCTATTAAAAATTTTTATAATTTACACACATATGTATTGTGTGGATATTTTGAGAGTGAGACCATCTAGGACCACTTGAGATCCTCAGTAGATCTTTTAGCTTATTAACGTGACACTAGATAATATGCACTTTATTTTTCCACATTCCTCTGAAGTCAGTACCAGCTGATCATAAACTCTGGGAATCTTAGTTTCTTTTTTTATTTATTTATTGCTTAGATGGATGGACGAGCTCACAGCCCACCTGATGCTAAGTGGTTACTGGACCCCATAGACATCTACAACGTAAATACGCCACCCACCTTGAGATATAAGTTCTAAGGTCTCAGTATAGTTATAGTATAGTTAATTTCTTCTTATTTTTACAGATCTATATTCTCTACGGAGTCATCACAGTCAATTAATGTTATTATGTATTAAAACGAGTGCCGTCTGTTTGCCTGAGTCTTTGGAGCTTTTCTCAGTAATTGTGACACAGTACAGGGGTGAGTTATATTTGTTTTTTTTTTGTTCTGCATATGGGTTTTCCGCCTTTCTTGTTGTTGAGTGGCTGATGCACAAATAAGGTGGATGTCTTAATTACATATAAGTTCATGGTTGTAGTGCTTTTTAGGCCAGAACTCTTTGTTACTATTCAGCAGGTATAGACAAGAAAGTGGCACTGGTCTGTGTTCATTGATAGCAAACCACTAATTCTAAACATAATAATTATGGGCTTTATCGACGAAGCTATCACCACAAGAAGACATCTGGGAAGTTGTGGACAAAACTTTAAAAATGTTTTAAGTCTTGTCTATGATTTGGGATGATTCTAGAAGGTACCATAGATTATTAATTTTTTTCTAGATGAAGGCCGTTTACCGCAAGAGCTAATATCAATAATAAGCGACAGACTACCTGGTCTATTGGTGCCGCCTTTGGAGCCAGGGAAAGCAGGACTACAATGGGTGGGTGATTTTTTATACTTTTTTTTATTGTCCTTGAGGCGAGCATACGGCGGCCCGCCTGATGGTAAATGCTTACCGTCGCTCATGGACGTCAAGCCGTTCTGAGTACTCTCCGTAAGCCTCGTTTGAAGAAGAACTTTTTACAGCGCTCGGGTAACAAAGTAATCTGTATCTACGTCGACTCTATATGGAAATGTGCCATAAGACAATAATGTAGAACTTTAGTTGTAAACTGCTGTGCTAATCAATCACTAAAACTACTAAAACGACATCATGACCAGTATCTTGTAGAATTAAATGTTGAGTATCTACAGTCAAACCTGGGTAAGTGAGAACTGGATAAGTGAGAAAACTCTATAAGTGAGAGTAAGAGCCAGGACCCGTCATTTTAAGCTCCCAAAACCTCTATTAGCGAGAAACAGAAACCTCTGTAAGAGAGAGTCGTTTTTCCCTCATGGACCTCCGTAAGTGCTACTTATCTGTACCTCTATAAGCGACAGTCGAGCTTTATTTATTTATATTATTTAGGAGGAACAAATGACAAAACAAATTACAGATTTAACATCTGCTATTTTATGACTCAGTCTTAACTTTCGTGGAACTAAATAACGTTGTTATTTTATCGCATTCTTTTCGAATGGATACGTGTGCCTGTGTACCGTCCTGTTTGTCGGACTTACTCAGTTTATCGTTAATCAATTGCGAAGGAAAGTTCTGTTCTGCATCATGTCAAAACGGAAAATTAAATTACTGTCATTAAGTGATAAACTTAAAATAGTGAATGCGTTTGAATCCGGAAAATCGCGAAATGAAATTCAGAGTGTGCATTAGCGAGAAACTCGGGTTAGTGAGAAACCTCTATAAGCGAGAATGAGATTGTGCTCCCTTGAACTCTCGCTTATCCAGGTTTGACTGTATTCCTTTTTCTAATTTTGAAATCCGCTAATCACTACATACTACTACTACATATTTGATTTAATGTACATATTTGTTGCATAATTTAAAAAATATATAAACATTACGCACTCCTTCTCTATATTCTCTATATGCGTGGGAAATTTCATACTCCTCCGTCCGGGCAATTTTTCGTAAAAAGGGATACAAAGTTTTTGCTTCACGTATTAATATATAGGTTTTGTTTTAGCTGCAAGTCGTCGGTGCGTTGTGCGAGTCGAGCGAAACTCAGGAGAAGGTATTACAGGAGGTGACGCCGCACGCCTTCGAGGACACCCTGTACAACGTCCTGCACTACACCGCGCAGGTACATTAATTGTTCTACAACTTTAATAAAATGAATAAAAATCGATTAAACAAAATCCTCAAACACGCATATTGGACATACCTTTTCTTGACATCGTATAAATTCGGTAATTCTTGGTACGGTTCGGAAAGTTCACCTGCGGCTATATTCAGACTCGCCAAGTTACGTCGGTCGTATTGTAATGAGTGATTTAGTGGGCCAGTTCATTCTGTTAATTTTATATCACGGTGCGCGCGCATCGTAAAATTTCACTCTCATCAATTTTTCATAACGCGCCTAAAGAAGTATAACTTCAATAATTATCTAATTTAATTTAAAACAATATGCCCGAACATGGCAGATGTCAACCCTTCATTCACAACGCATGTCACCATTGTCGACAGCGCCATCTATATAAGTACACAGGAGTTATAGAGCGTTGTACAAATGTACTATAATGGTGCTCACAATTTGCAGAGCGGCGCAGTCGGAGCAGAGAGCTCGCAGCAGGCCGTGGTGGCGTCGTGCCGCGCCGCGCTGTGCCTGTGCCCGGCCGCACGGGACTGGGAGGCCGCTCTCACCAGGATGCTGGCGCACCACCAGGTAACCCAGCGCCCAGCTGTACCGGTACCACCAAAGGAACGAGCTTTTGTTTCTATTGATATGTCTTCTATGTGTCCTCCTACTTCTTAAAGATTGAAAATCAACCAGGTTGTCGAGGAGATTGTATAAAATTATATAATAACTAGCTGTACCGATCTGCTTCGCTGGGCATTTAAAATTAACATCATTATTTCCCACCCCCACAACGATTCTCATAATTAACGCCCCCGCAACTGGTGTAGGGAGTTCAACACTCATATAAATATTAGCCTATCCATTAAGTACGTGTGTTTTCTACATGGATACCAAGTTTCAAGTCAATCGGATGCATGCTTCAGTAGTTATAACGGAACATCCGTAAAAACGACTAGATTTATATATTAGCATAGACTAAATCTTCAAATGCTTCGTTACTATACAATCTACTTTCCACTTATTGTCTACCTATGTCACGCCTATCTAAATCGATTTCGATCAACTAAAAAAATATAAAAAAAGAATGTTTTGAAACTAAAAAAAATACCCAATATATGAGGTGTTAGGAGACCGCTTCCGAAAACGAAGACAGACGATAGTACTAATGACACCTTTGATGATGGGACGGAAAATATCGATATTGATTAAAAAAAAAGAAACATATTTTTAAAACGTTTTATTAGCATTATTTACGCTCCATCATGTTAATACAGCCAAATGAAACCAACCATAGTTTCATAAAAAAATACATTACTAAAAAAACCCAGCAATGAAACACAAAATCAAAAACAGCTGATGCTCGGATGAACGACAGCTCGGGCGCCGCACGACGCAGACTCTTTTTATTGCCCTTGTAGGCAGACGAGCATACGGCCCATCTGATGGTGAGTGGTTACCGTCGCCCATGGACTTCAGCAATGCCACGGGCAGAGTCAAGCCGCTGCCTACCGCTTAATACTCTCCACAAGCCTTGTTTGAAGAAGGACATGTCATAGCGCTCGGGAAACACCGTGGAGGGGAGCTAATTCCATAGCCGGATGGTACGTGGCAAAAAAGACCTCTGGAAATACGCGTTCGCATAAATACTTACAACATTTGTCTAAATAACTCCATCATCAAAGGTGTCATTAGTACTATCGTCTGTCTTCGTTTTCGGAAGCCGTCTCCTAACACCCTGTATATAATAGTACTATATTGATTTTCATTTAATTCAGGTACGAAAAATGCTCTGCGCCGGTTTGATGAGTAGCAACGGGCAGCGGAGGAGACAAGTTCTGCAGTTGATCAAACATCATTACTTCCCCTTAGACCAGATGAACCAGGTATTGATGATTCACAAACTTAGAACTCTTAGAACTTATATCTCAAGGTGGGTGGCGCATTCACGTTGTAGATGTTTGTGGGCTCCAGTAACCACGTAACACTAGGTGGGCTGTGAGTTCGTCCAACCATCTAAGAAAAAGAAAAAAAATGAGAACCTCCTTTTTTGAAGTCGGTTAAAAAGAGTACCCTTTTCTCTGTCAGGTGTTCGGGGAATCCTTCGCTGCGGATGTGAGCGGTGAGCCGCCGGGTGCGTGCAGCGCCGACCGCGCCGACAGCCGCGCGCCGCCGCCCGCGCTGCCCTGGGCGGAGCACCCGGCGCTGGAGCTCGCCACCGACGCGCTCGTCCGGAGGCTCAGCGACGCCCTCGCCGACGGGAAGGTGCACCGGTCACACCTGTATAAATATTAGCTATATATTAATACGTGAAGCAAAAACTTTGTACCCTTGTATATAAACAATTAAAAAAAACTTATAATTTCAATTAATTATAGTCGAATTTTGACTACTGGGGGACCGTTAGTAATAAATAAAGTCGTTTTCAGATTTCCGACATAGCCACTTCGAGCGTGATGGAGCTGTACGGGTACAAGATGACCTGCCTGGAGCAGAGGCTGCACTCGCACTCCGCCGCGCTGCAGGTGCGAAACAGTGACCGCCACTTACCGTCGCCCGTGGACATCAGCAGTACATCAATCGGACCGCTGAGTCTAACTAACTAAAGAAAAAAACAATTTGTTTTTGTAACGCACGTACAGTAGGTCGGGGGGAATAGGGACTAGAGGTAGAATAGAGACAAATCTGGGATGTCACAATGCGTTTGTTGAGTTGTTAGTTTTAACTCATGCCCGATCCTGCGGACAGAATGGAAAACAATCGACGTTGCCCAAAACACGTCATTTCGGATACTCCCGATCCACTAACAGTGCTTTTAGGTACCTCAAGCACCGGTCATCGTTCTCGTCGAACCCGTCGCTTGCGACGAAGGGCTCGACGAGTGAATTAACCCATAGACACAGCCCACTGAGTTTCTCGCTGGATCTTCTCAGTGGGTCGCGTTTCCGATACGGTGGTACATTCTGCGAAGCACGGCTCTTGCTAGGGTTTGAGCCCCGTGAGCTCACCTACTAGTTAAGGTTACGCTGAAATACCCGCTCAAGGCTATCAGCTTAAGTGGAAAAAAAAAGATTTAACTTAGTTGAATTGAAAATGACTTTTATTTTGTGTAAAAAATACTAAAAAGCTAATTACCTAAAGTTAGTTACCTACCTAACAACTAAATAGTGCCAGCCCTATCGAAAAACGCTATTGTCCCCTTAAACGACCTGATTCGCCCCAATGCCTGGGTGAATAGGGACAAGGGAGTTTTTGTAACATCATATGATTATTCTTTAATAAACTATATCTAAATGGATTATAAATGAAAATTTAAACTACCGGAACCATTATGATCTCCGTTTTATTACTGCAACTACAAAAAAAAAAACAATAAAAATCAATGTCGAACTTAAAAAGTGTCCCGATTTGGTTTTAAAAGGTTTGAAGGGTTGATAAAAATATGAAAATGCTCGGAATTAAATAAAAATAACAATTTTCTTTTCCCTTTGATGTCCCCCCGTCGGACGGATTCCTTTTGTTTGTTTTAAGTTTATTTTATACAAAAGTTTAGGTCTTTTATATTTATCGATTGAGGCACTACAAAGTTTGCCGGGTCAGCTAGTGTTAGTATAGATAAGAACAATGGCGTAAAATGTTTTGTGTCTGTGGTTCAGGGCGCTACAGAGCAGATGGCGTCCCTTCAGCACTCGCTCGCCCTGCTGCAGGCAACTAACTCGGCGCAACAGGACGTGCTGTACACGACGCAGATGCAGAATGAACGGTGACGTCATCGTTCAAAATCTTTTTTAATACTCTTTTATTATTAGCTTCAGACGTATGTATGTTTGTATGTAACGAAATCTATGAACATGATTATGAGCCCCTTCAAAACGTCGGATTAACTCGAAATTTTGTATGCTTATTAAGGACCGATGACAATTCAATATTAGGAAAAACTGAAATTCAACTGAAAAATAAATAATAGTTTAAAAAAAAGCTAACAAAATACGCTTTTATAGAAAATTCAACTAAGAAATAGAAACTAAATTTTAATAAATTTGAATTAAAAATAGTATAAGAAAGAAAAAATGACTTTATTATAAAAAGCGTGGGGTGCTTTTCAGGATATTATCAAATAACCCTTCTACTCATATCTGTTTATAAAATATTTATAACTACTGATACCATGTACCGCACAAATTTTTTCTTACACTATTTTTAATTCAAAGAAATGGATGAAGGGGCTATGATACAATTTGTTAATTTTGAGTAAACGGGCAACAAAAGTTTTGTTACTTGTACTTTTCCTTCGTACATAACTCCTTCATTACACGGAATTTCTAAAAATAGCCTTTAAACTCGTAGTTGTAAGGTCTAATATGGTTTATAGGCACATAACACCTTCATTCAGTGTAAAAACTCGAATATCTTAAAAATTGTACTTAACACCGTCATCCACTCATGTCTTCAAATAATAACAATATCAGTCGAAGGTTTAAAATTAACGTCTTAATTGAATTTTAGGAAAACAAAAAAATCTATTTTGAGTTGTCACGTGTGAATAATGTATGTGATAGAATCATTTGCTTTAGTTGCGATGTTGTAAAAAATTAAGATGTTTATAATTTAAAAAAAAAGAAAAAAATGGAAACTAAAGCTAGATTTTGCTATTATGGTACAAGCATCGGTGGTTCAGTGGTAGAATGCTCGCCTGCCACGCGGGCGGCCCGGGTTCGATTCCCGGCCGATGCAGTCTTTTTGTATTCTTTAATCGCTAATTGAAACTGAATCTTCAAGGCGTTATAAATTTTGAGTTTTTAAAATAAATAAAAACTTTTTTTTATGTTTCCGTTCCACTAAACGATGATGGCGTTTGAAGTTTTTTTTTATATTAATTGTCGTTATGAATTTCAGATATAAGAAGATAATAGAGGATTTCCACAAACAGTTGGAAGACGCCGAGACCACGGTCCGGGGGTTCCGCGCCAAACTGGCAGCCGAGCGGCTCGAGAAAGAGAAGCAAAAGGAACAATTGCAGAAGGAATTCGGGGTTCAACTCGCCGTGAGTATAATCTATACGACAAGCCCGCACGACGGTAAGCGGAGCCTGTCCTTCGACTGGTCTGTATCTGGCGGTCGAGGAAATTGGTACCATCGGCTATCATACCCCGAAGAACCCCTAAGAGCGGATACCCGCAATAAGTTCCGCTATGAAAGGACAAATAAACAAATAAACACACTTGCAAATTATACAGGCTGGCTGGTCGAACACTACATACTGTGACCTTAGAACTTATATCTCAAGGTGGGTGGCGCATTTACGTTGTAGATGTCCATGGGCTCCAGTAATCACTTAACACAAGGTGGGCTGTGAGCTTGTCCACACATCTAAGTAATGAAAAAAAAAAAAGTGTGTAGTGAAATAAATAAAATATAATACTCGATTCTCGTATACTCGATTCTCGTTCTAATTAAGAAAAAAAAAAAACGTGCCTAAGATTTGCGTAATTTATCTTTAATTATCTATTCAAAACAATAAGCGTGGTCACTCGCACGCGTAGTAACAAAATTTGCCAGTCACGCGGCAAAGGGACTTGTTTTTTTGCACCGATCGACGATCGCGACATCTCCACAAATTTTGAATTTGCAAATAAATTTAATAACGGTTTTCTCTGTAGGTCATTTGTATTTTTGTTTTATTTATATTTCAAGCATTTCAATAACCAATATTGCATTTCACTTCAATAAAGAAAATAAATTAATTAAATACTAAATTAATAATATGAAAATAATATAATATTAATAAATAATAAGAATAATAATTTAATAACTAAAATATATTATTAAAAGGAGTCCCTTTAGGCAAGGTTCCGAAGATACTGGCAGCGTTCCCCCTTTGAATAGCTAGACTAATTCTTTGTCCAAGGTAGCTGCCAGCTCTTCGGTCTCCTGTGGTGTCGACTATATTTTATATTAAAATATCTAAACATTAATATTATCTAAACGATAATATTATTTATTTATTTGGGAAACAAACAGTACAATATAAACATATAATATTTAAAAAAAATAGCTAAAACAATAACCAAATATGTTTTCACAATCAAAATCACATATAAGTAGAAAGTGAGCAGAGAAGAGAAATTTAGAAAATTTTAAGTTACAAAAAAAACAAAGGCACACAATACGCACATATTATTATGTACATCAATCAAAACGTTTTACGTGACCATGAATTATCATGTCCTTGAGTATGTAAAGTGTTCAACCAGTCAGCCTGTAATATTTACAAATTTATTAGCTATACTATCTATACTAATATATAAATCTACAGTGGTTTTTATGGATGTTCCGTCATAACTACTGAAGCATGCATCCGATTGACTTGAAACTTGGTATCCATGTAGAAAATACATGTATTTAATGGATAGGCTAATATTTATATGAGTGTTGGACTCCCTACACCAGTTGCGGGGGCGTTAATGATGAGAATCTTTGTGGGGGTGAGAAATAATAATGTTAATTTTAAATACCCAGCGAAGCGGACGGGTACAGTTAGTTAGATTATAATTATATGCCATTCGCTAGTAAGTACATATGTCGTATGTCTTATTCTTTGGGCCACATGTCAATTTGCAGTTGTCTTGTGACAATAATAAGTATTGTTAAGTAAAATAACTTAATTGTTTTAGAACATAGAAAAAGAGATGAAATCACGTGAGAAGGAAGCCGAGGAGAGATTGAGAAACGCTGACGCAGAGAACAAGACGCTGACGAAGAAACTGGAACAACAAGTGAGTTGGTCAGCTTGGGCTCTTTCAAGAGATATCTGATAGTTAATTATTAGTTCTATTCGGAATTTGCCTTTGATCTGTAATTTCGAAGTCAATATGTATTCGTCAGCCATAAGAACCATAAGAACGTTCTAGTGCTATTATTTATACTTTACGGTCACCCAGTAGTTGAAATTCGATTAGAATTAATTGAATATATAAGTTTGAACTTTATTATGGTTCTATTGTCAAAGACTATACTTCTATAATCACAGATTTCGCCAAGGCTGCACTATATACAAATAATATTATAGACAAATATTAATCTATTTTCAATTTGCTCACAAACTTTAAACAATAACAAAAGTTTGACAATAAATAAAGAGTATTTAAATATTTGTTGTGTCAAATACATGGCAGTGTGTGTAATGTTTTTATTTATTGGATTAATTTATTTTTTATGGATAATTAAAAAAAAAATAACATTCTGCACTCCTTCTCTATATTCTCTGTAAGTGTGGGAAAATTCATACTTCTATGTCCATAGATAATATGTACATATAGATTAGTTATAGATAAACAACTCAAGCACTCAACAAAAATGTTTACAGGCGTCGACCACTAGATAGCTTCGCTTCGAATAGTTTGTTATTGCTCTGGTAGATGGCAGTAACATCCTACATTTTATTTTTAATGAAGGCTTTTGTAAATTTTCACAAATCACAAATTGATAAAATTTAATCAATTTGTCCATAACAAATACAGACTTGTATGATTTATTAATTTTTCATTTTCTATATTTAGTAATACAGTAATTAAATGCCTTAACTTCAACAACATATTAGATTAGAGGCATCCGCTACAAGATGTCGCTAGTTTCCATACAAAAAATATTTGTCATAAAGTATCGCAGTTTAAGGGCTCTGTTTGCGTAATTTTCGTAAAGAGGAGTACAAAGTTTTTGCTTCACGTATTAATATTGTTACGCGCTGGGGTTTGGGATAAATAAAATTTCACCAAAGTACAACTTATTCAACACTTAGAACACTTAAACACTCACAAACACTTTTTTAAAACTCGCTTCAGGTGATCCGTTCGCTGTGTCGCTTCGAGTAGTTCCGATTACTGACTGACTGCGTGCCATCTCTACAACGCTTTTATAGCCGATACCTCATCCCTAGAATTATCGAGAATATTCCACACATCTCTAGTCGTAGTTTCCGCTATTTGACAACAGATGGCGATGTAATTCTAGAGCGTTCTGGGTACTACTAGATCCTTCGATATTCGTTGGACTATTCGGGCGATAGATGGCGTTACTCTTACCGGCGTAACAATATATAGGTTTGTTATTTGAACAGACGAGCAAGAGCAGCGAGCTGGCCGGCGTCCTCATAAAGTTCGAGGAGCGCGTGAAGCAGCGCGACAAGAGGCTGGAGGAGGCCGCCGCCCACGAGACCGCGCTCCGGAGCGAGATCGAGGCCAGGGACCTGGTGAGTGCCCGAGCCCAGGCGAGCCATCAACTAACTACGAATACCCGATCCTGTGGACCGAATGGTAAACAGTCGACGTCACCCTAAGCACGTCATTACCGATCCTCCCGAACCATTAAAGGTGCTTTTAGGTACCTCAAGTACCGGTCACCGTTCTCGTGGTCAAGGGCTCGACGAGTAAATTAACCCATAGACACAGCCCACTGAGTTTCTCGCCGGATCTTCTCAGTGGGTCGCGTTTACGATCCGGTGGTAGATTCTGCGAAGCACTGCTTTGGCTAGGGCCAGTGTTAGCAACACTCCCGATTTGAGTCCCGTGAGCTCACCTACACGTCAAGGAGAAGCTGAAATAGCCTCTCCAGACTATCAGCATAGGTAGAAAAAAAAAAGTGTGTGTGTCCGCTCCGACGCACGACTGGAGTTTACTGGATATAAAAAATTAAACGAAACAATACGAGAAATAGTTCTATATTACGACAACACGATACACTACAGATTATTAACAAATTAACGAGACACAAAACAAACGACTAACAAATATATGAAAATNCGAGCAATATCGTGTATCGGCTGATATCGAAATATAGATTTCGATTCACGAATCGGTCCGATATGGCGATGCGCATCACATCGAGCAATATCGTGTATCGGCTGATATCGATATATAGATTTCGTGCGGGGCGATATCGGATTCAACGATATTGCTGCGATATATAGATATTGAATCTATATACGATTTATATCACCCACTCCTAGTACACACCCTGCCTATTTCTGCCGTGAAGCAGTAATGCATTTCGGTTTGAAGGGTGGGGCAGCCATTGCAACTATACTTGAGACCTTAGAACTTATATCTCAAGGTGAGTGGCGCATTTACGTTGTAGATGTCTATGGGCTCCAGTAACTACTTAACACCAGGTGGCTCGTCCACCTATCTAAGCAATAAAATAAAACTTAGCCAATAATATATAGTAGAGTACCTTTTTTAATTTTATTTTTTATTTTTTTATTGCTTAGATGGTTGGACGAGCTCACAGCCCACCTGGTGTTAAGTGGTTACTGGAGCCCATCGACATCCACAACGTAAATGCGCCACCCACCTTGAGATACAAGTTCTAAGGTCTCAAGTATAGTTACAACGGCTGCCCCACCCTTCAAACCGAAACGCATTACTGCTTCACGGCAGAAATAGGCAGGGTGGTGGTACCTACCCGCGCCGACTCACAAGAGGTCCTACCACCAGTAAAAAACACAGTACAGTGTGAACATGTGCATAATAATGTATGCTGTGCGATATTGTTGTGCTATGAGCTATATACCATATGCTAATATACTATAGCATAGTCTGAAAGCGGCTTTAATGAAGACACGAGTGGATGAGGGGGATATGATACAATTTATTAATTTTGAGAAAATGGGCAACAATTTTTGTTACTTGTACTTTTTCTTTGTACATAACTCCTTCATCACATGCAATTTCTAAAAATAGTCTTTAAACTCGGAGCTGTAAGGTCCAATATGTTTTATAGGCATATAACTTCACTAAGGTTTCATTCAATGTAAAAACTCAAAAATCTTAAAAATGATACTTAACCCCCTCATCCACTCATGTCTTCAAATAATAATAATATCAGTCGAAGGCTTAAAATGAATGCCTTCAATGAATTTTAGGAAGACAAAAAAAATCTATTTTGATTTGTCACGTATGAATAATGTATGTGATAGAATCATTTGCTTATGTTGCGATATTGTAAAAAATCAGAATATTTATATTACTCAAGGAATATTTATTCAAAAAAAGGAAAAAATGGAAACTAAAGCTAGATTTTGCTGTTATGGTACAAGCATCGGTGGTTCAGTGGTAAAATGCTCGCCTGCCACGCGGGCGGCCCGGGTTCGATTCCCGGCCGATGCAGTCTTTTTGTATTCTTCAATCGCTAATTGAAACTGAATCTTCAAGGCGTTATAATTTTTAAGTTTTTAAAATAAATGAATAAATATTTTTTTATGTTTCCGTTCCACTAAACGAAGATGGCGTTTGAAGTTTTTTTTATATTAATTGTCATTATGAATTTCAGATATAAGAAGATAATAGAGGACTTCCACAAACAGTTGGAAGACGCCGAGACCACGGTCCGGGGGTTCCGCGCCAAACTGGCGGCCGAGCGGCTCGAGAAAGAGAAGCAAAAGGAACAATTGCAGAAGGAATTCGGGGTTCAACTCGCCGTGAGTATAATCTATACGACAAGCCCGCACGACGATAAGCGGAGCCTGTCCTTCGACTGGTCTGTATCTGGCGGTTGAGGAAATTGGTGCCATCGGCTATCATACCCCGAAGAACCCCTAAGAGCGGATACCTGCAATAAGTTCCGCTATGAAAGGACAAATAAATAAACAAACGCACTTGCAAATTATACAGGCTGGCTGGTCGAACACTACATACTGTGACCTTAGAACTTATATCTCAAGGTGGGTGGCGCATTTACGTTGTAGATGTCCATGGGCTCCAGTAATCACTTAACACAAGGTGGGCTGTGAGCTTGTCCACACATCAAAGTAATGAAAAAAAAAAAAAAGTGTGTAGTGAAATAAATAAAATATAATACTCGATTCTCGTATACTCGATTCTCGTTTCTAATTAAGCAAAAAAAAAAAACGTGCCTAAGATTAGCGTAATTTATCTTTAATTATCTATTCAAAACAATAAGCGTGGTCACTCGCGGCGTGGCGCGCGTAGTAACAAAATTTGCCAGTCACACAGCAAAGGGACTTCTTTTTTTTGCACCGATCGACGATCGCGACATCGCCACACATTTTGAATCACCATTTTCGAGTTTTAGCAAATTAATTTAACGACGGTTTTCTCTGTAGGCCATTTGTATTTTTATTTTATTTATATTTCAAGCATTTCAATAACCAATATTGCATTTCACTTCAATAAAGAAAATAAATAAATTAAATACTCAATTAATAATATTAAAATAATATTAATATTAATAAATAATAAGAATAATAATTTAACAACTAAAATATACTATTAAAAGGAGTCCCTTTAGACAAGGTTCCGAAGATACTGGCAGCGTTCCCCCTTTGAATAGCTAGACTAATTCTTTGTCCAAGGTAGCTGCCAGCTCTTCGGTCTCCTGTGGTGTCGACTATATTTTATATTAAAATATCTAAACATTAATATTATCTAAACGATAATATATTATCTAAACGATAATATATTATCTAAACGATAATATTATTTATTTATTTGGGAAACAAACAGTACAATATAAACATATAATATTTAAAAAAAATAGCTAAACAATAACCAAATATGTTTTCACAATCAAAATCACATATAAGTAGAAAGTGAACAGAGAAGAGAAATTTAGAAAATTTAAGTTACAAAAAAAAAAAAAAAGGCAACACAATACGCACATATTATTATTTACATCAATCTAAACGTTTTACGTGATCATGAATTATCATGTCCTTGAGCATGTAAAATGTTCAACCAGTCAGCCTGTAATATTTACAAATTTATTATCTATACTATCTATACTAATATATAAATCTACAGTGGTTTTTATGGATGTTCCGTTATAACTACTGAACCATGCATCCGATTGACTTGAAACTTGGTATCCATGTAGAAAAAACATGTACTTAATGGATAGGCTATAATAATATATAAATGAGCGTTGGACTCCCTACACCAGTTGCGGGGGCGTTAATTATGAGAATCTTTGTGGGGGTGAGAAATAATGATGTTAATTTTAAATGCCCAGCGAAGCGGACGGGTACTGCTAATTAGATTATAATTATACGCCATTCGCTAGTAAGTACATATGTCGTACTTACGTACGTACGTACGTATTCTTTGGGCCACATGTCAATTTACAGTTGCCTTGTGACAATAATAAGTATTGTTAAGTAAAATAACTTAATTGTTTTAGAACATAGAAAAAGAGATGAAATCACGTGAGAAGGAAGCCGAGGAGAGACTGAGAAACGCTGACGCAGAGAACAAGACGCTGACGAAGAAACTGGAACAACAAGTGAGTTGGTCAGCCTGGGGTCTTTCAAGAGATATCTGATAGTTAATTATTCGGAATTTGCCTTTGATTTGTAATTTCGAGGCCCCCCAGTAGTCGAAATTCGACTATAATTAATTGAATTTATAAGTTTGAACATTGTTATGGTTCTATTGTCAAAGACTATACTTTTATTAACACAGATTTCGCCAAGACTACACTATAAACAAATAGTATTATAGACAAACATTAATCTATTCTCAATTTGCCCACAAACTTTAAACAATAACAAAAGTTTGACAATAAACAAAGAGTATTTAATTATTTGTTGTTTCAAATACATGGTAGTGTGTGTAATGTTTTTATTTATTGGTTTAATTTATTTTTATGCATAATAAAAAAAAAATAACATTCTGCACTCCTTCACTATATTTTCTATGTCCATAGATAATACACATTTACGGGCGTCGGCTGATGGCTTCGCTTCGATTAGTTTCTCATTGCTCCTGTAGATGGCAGTAACCTATCCTATATTTTTTCTTTAATGAAGGATTTTGTAAATTTTCAGAAACCACAAATTGATATAATTATATATGTATTATGAATGTAATATTGTTAAAATTTATACCTACATATTGTTACACGCTGGGGTTCGGGATAAATAAAATTTCACCAAAGTACAACTTAAAAACTGTATTCAACACTTAGAACACTTAAACACTTCTCAAACACTTTAAAACATTCAACAATCACTTTAAAACTCTCAATTCGCTTGTTGCGCTTCGGGTCAGGTGATCCGTTCGCTGTTTCGCTTCGAGTAGTTCCGATTACTGACTGACTGCGTGCCATCTCTACAACGCTTTTACAGCCGATACCCCATCCCTAGAATTATCGAGAATATTCCACACATCTCTAGTCGTAGTTTCCGCTATCTGACAATAGATGGCGTTGTAATTCTCGAGCGTTCTGGGTACTATTAGATTCTTTGATATTCGTTAGACTATTCGGGCGATAGATGGCGTTACTCTTACCGACGTAACAATATATAGGTTTGTTATTCGAACAGACGAGTAAGAGCAGCGAGCTGGCGGGCGTCCTCATAAAGTTCGAGGAGCGCGTGAAGCAGCGTGACAAGAGGCTGGAGGAGGCCGCCGCCCACGAGACCGCGCTCCGGAGTGAGATCGAGGCCAGGGACCTGGTGAGTGCCCGAGCCCAGGCGAGCCACTGTGCAGCGCGACCATCTAACTACGAAAACGCATACCCGCTCCTAGGGACCGAATGGTAAACAGTCGACGTCGCCCTAAGCACGTCATTACGGATCCTCCCGAATCATTAACGACGCTTTTAGGTACCACAAGCACCAGTCAACGTCCTCGTTGTCAAGGGATCGACAAGTAAATTAACCCATAGACACAGCCCACTGAGTTTCTCGCCGGATCTTCTCAGTGGGTCGCGTTTCCGATCCGGTGGTAGAATCTGCGAAGCACTGCTCTGGCTAGGGCTAGTCTTAACAACACTCCCGATTTGAGCCCCGTGAGCTCACCTACACGTCAAGGAGAAGCTGAAATAGTCTCTCAAGACTATCAGCATAGGTAGAAAAAAAAACGATTATGTTTTCAGACCATTAAGCAGCTGGAGAAGACCGTGCTGGAGCGCGAGAACCGGCTGTACCAGGTCACCACTCAGCTCGACGAGATGAAGCGCGTGCAAGAGATGGTCGCCAAGCTGATGAGCAAGAGCACCTCCGCGAACTGCGCCAGCTGACGTGAGTGCGGCACTTGTCCCTTGTCACTGTCAGTCACTTGTCAGTCACTTTCGCAAATGTATCAATCAGTCTTGTTGGCGAGAGAGAGACTACTACGGAAAGACTTTGCTTGGCGTGCCGTGACAAGTCAATTGAACGCTTGACTTTTTACCCCAACAGATTTTTGTTAGAGGCCTAATAAATATTTTGTTAATTTCTTGTTAACTGATGTCGCTCGTCAGTCACTTGTCAGACACTCGTCAGTCACTTGTTAGTCACTTGTCAGTCTAATGGAGGGCAGAGCGGGAACTGTGCGGTCGGAGAGATACATGATTAGCGGGGGACCTAGCACGAATTGTCGGCCTGTCGATATCAGCTGTCAATGTTTCTGACGATAGTAGAATGTTGGTGATAATCTGTGTACAGTATTCGAAACGTGGGTAGACAATATAGGGACAATAATGAATGTAAGGTTATAGCGTATTAGTAGTTTTAATTGTGTTTAGGATTCGTGAAAATTGAAGAAGATTTCAGAATGAATAATTGTTAAATAGAACGTAGAACGGATGGTATATAGGCCTCCACAAGATGAACAGACGGTCTATTGAGGTTCGCGGGGATCCACTGGATGCAACCAGCCCAGGACCGATCGTTGTGGGGAGGCCTGAGGGAGGCCTATGTCCGGCAGTGGATGTCTGTGGGCTGATAATAAGAAGAAGAAGATATCGACACGCGCCCGGAGCTGAGTTGCCGCGTCACAGGCAACTTAAGCATTAAGTTACACATAAACATATCGCACATTTAGAATTGAAGCGGTTTAATACAACAACAAAAATACTTGTTTTTTGGTAAACGTCAAAAATGTAACTGAAGTATTGTAATTTTTCAGTTTCGATTTTAATACTGTTACGCGCTGGGGTTCGGGATAAATAAAAATTCCACCGAAGTTCCCCGAAGTATGAATTAAAACTGTATTAGCACTCAGAACACTTCACTAACACTTTAAAATTCTTAAGTCACTTCTTCCGCTTCGCTTCAGGTGATCCGTTCGGTGTTTCGCTTCGAGTAGTTCTGATTATTAACCGATACCATATCCCTAGAATTATTCAGAATATTCCACACAAGTCAAGTATTATGTTTCCGCTATCTGACAATAGATGGCGTTGTATTCGAGCGTTCTAGATGCTACTATATCCTTCATTCGACTATTCGGCGCTAGATGGCGTTACTCTTACCGGAGTAACAATACTTTAAGACTTAAAAATACAAGAGCTCGTGATTCCCAGACCTTCGTTGTTTTATAAAAGCTGAAAATTTGTCAGCGCGTGCTCCCAACACAGGTAAGAAAGATGGACCATTATGAAGTTTGGGTTACAATGGCTTTGGCAGGTACATGGTACTAAAGGTGTGTAAAATACCGATCTAAATTCATTAAATAATAAGCGCGATTTTTTGGTATTACCTTCAGGATATTATTAAAAATCACGTTATTCAGTGCCAGACACTTGAAGGTGTGAACGAAGGTTTAGGTTCACGGACTCTTGGACTATAAAGCGCATAGCTTAAGGCTTAAAGTATACTCTGGATTTAAATGAAACGAAAAGTGTACTCTTGTGTATTATTACAATAATTTTTTTTTATTTTTATAAACTGATAGAAATGCATGTATGTAAGTCGTTCAATTCATAAAATTCATTCATTCATTTAATTCGTTCATTCGTAAAAAATATTTTCTTATCATAATGAGTCAAATGATTCGTTTTGCACTTTTGCATTGAAAATTCACGTATTATCTTATTGCTTTTGCACATTTGACCTCATGACTTTTACCAATTAATTATTATACTTTGTTTTTTATGTTTTGTTTTGTTTATTTTGAGCAATACTTGTCGTATACCGTTATCTACTGTCTATGGTAGAAATAGTTACCAGTAAGTGTTGACATGATTAGTGTTAACTTTTTTTGTAAAGTCGCTTCCATTCTAAGTGTGCGATATATATCACCGCTGATGTCTTCAAGATATAGTATATCGAATGTTTAAATCGAATTTATATAGTTAAAAAAACCCCCGAGACAAATGGCTTTAGAATTGCCATAGAGAACCATAGACTGATGTATGTACATACAAAAAAAAGGCAAAGGAAAACAGAAGCAGTCGTCTCACGAGCTTTGGTTCCATGAGGGAATCGAATGATCAGTTCTTTTTTTTATTGCCCTTGTAGGCAGACGAGCATACGGCCCACTTGATGGTGAGTGGTTACCGTCGCCCATGGACTTCAGCAATGCCAGGGGCAGAGCCAAGCCGCTTCCTACCGTTAGGTTAGTTCAGGGGAGTTTTTACTACTGATTTCTGTTAAAATATGTAGTGTTAATCTCTAGTATTATTGTGTGCTATTGAGGTTTTAATGATTGCTTGATGACTTCGATAGGTCGAACAACCTCAAAGATGACGCAGGATGAGGCGGACGGACGCAGGCCCGGGGACGTCGCGGCAATCATATTACGTATATGAGGATCGTTAATGTTCTGTGAGATCGGACAGTATTTTATTATGTGACAATAAATTTTGAAATTGTACATCATGTATGGAGTTTTCGGTTTTCCGTCCGTGTGTTCCGATGATGACAGGAGATGAATTTTCGATATCCCCCCAAAAAACAGACAGTATGGAGGGTAGGGGTAAGGGGCACCATCTTGTATAGGGGACAAGTCGAAAAAGTGTCCATCTGTAAACAGCAAATTATAGTTCGAAAATTAACCGAATTAGCGCTACTTTTTTTTTTTATGATTGAAGGATTACTGGTGGCCCGGAGGCCTTTCCAGTTTCACCAGGACAGGTGGGCGAGCAAAGGCTCAGCCAGGAGGGGTGGGATTTGCTAACAGCTACCCGAGCGCCTCCGAAGGAGACCTAACAGCTCAAGAGTAGCTGCTTCGCGAATGAATCTACTACCGGATCGGAATCGCGACCCGCTGAGAAGATCCGGCGAGAAACTCAGCGAGCTGATTCATGGGTTAGGTTGCACGGCGAACTCTTTGTCGAGTTCGACGAGTACGGTTACCGAGGTCCCTAAGCCTGCTCCTAGTGTTAGAGCTGAAGGCGTCTAATGCAAAGGTTATTGGATCTGATGGATCCGTAAGGACGTGTCTAGGGCGTCGACGGTGACTGGCTCCTGCGTGATCAGGATTCGGGGAGTAGTCAGCGGCGGCAACGATAAGGCGATTATCATGACGCATAGCCTTATCGAAGTACCGTTCCGACGCTGACTTCATGTATTTCTGGATAGATTCGAGGCCCAGGTCGTCGTGTAGGTCAACGTTCCTCACGAACCACGGAGCTCCGACGGCTAACCTGCAAAAGCGGGATTGTAGAGATTGGAGGGTGTCTATGTGTGTGCGGGCCGCGTGAGCGAACACCACAGTCGCGTAAGTCATGACGGGCCTTATGCAAGTTTTGTAAAGTGTCACCTTGTTCCGAAGGGACATTTTACTCCGCTTACAGATCATGGGGTAGAGTCTACCGAGAATAAACGCGGCACGGTCACGGACTGATTTTAGATGCGGGCGGAATGTCATCGATGCATCCAGGGTAACGCCCAGGTACTTGACCTTCCTGGCCCAGGGTATGGGTTGTCTAAAGAGAGTAATCGGGGGGGTGAGATTCCTCCTCCTAATACGGGAGGAAATCCGTGTGGAGCTTCCCCTCTGAAATAGCACCGCAGTACTTTTCGCTGGGTTGATGTCTATGCGCCATTTTATTAGCGCTAGTGTAGCAAGAGGAAATAGTATGAATATAGAAGTTTTAAACTGAGTGAGATTCAGCACTGTTCAGTGCTCTTATTGCGGAGATATTCGTTACGTTAAGGACTGACAGTATACAGTCGCAGTAACTTAACATGATTTCATAAAGTCCACACCTGGTAGGTACCACCAGCTTGCCTATTTCTGCCGTGAAGCAGTAATGCGTTTCGGTTTGAAGGGTGGGGCAGCCGTTGTAACTATACTGAGATTTTAGATTTTATATGTCAAGGTGTGTGGCGCATTGTAGATGTCTATGGGCTTCAATAACTGGTATGAAAATGCGATAAAAATAAGCAATACAATTGTTTGCGTTTTAATTGTGCCGAATGTTTTATTCCTATCCTTGGTCCTTGCTTATCTATTCCTATCCTATATATGCTTGCCTATGGTATAAGCAGGTTGGAGAAGAAACATCCAATAAACCACCATTTTTATTGGTTCTTATAAATAATTTATGATATTAACTATTGTCTGTCACGTTTTTTTGTTGTTGCTTAGTTTGGTGGTAAAAACTGAGAAATTAGAACTCTTCAAAGTGGTTGTTGGAATTAATGTTGTGATGCTCCAGTTCTGTGTGCACAACTGGTACGCACCACCGCCCCGCCTATTTCTGCCGTGAAGCAGTAAAGCGTTTCGGTTTGAAGAGTGGGGTAGCCGTTGTAACTATACTGAGACCTTAGGACTTATATCTCAAGGTGGGTGGCGCATTTACATTGTAGATGTCTATGGGCTCTAGTAACCGCCCACCTGGTGGGCTGTGAACTCGTCCAACCATCTAAACAATAAAAAAAAATCGATAAATGTATATTGAAAAAAATATAAATATAATTTTTGTGTGATCGTGTCAAAAGCAATCATTATTTTCAAACATTATCATTTTAGGTTTGAAGTTGGACTAAAGTTTGTTCATCAGTGCCGTCAGGGCTCAAGGCATGTTTATTGGGCAACAGAAACCTCTGTGTCAACCAATTTTGAATAACAACATTCCGACCAATTAACTATATATGTTTACCACGAAACAAGATAACTACAAATTAATAGAAGTCAAAAGTTAATTAGTTACTTAATAAAATACACAAGTATCTATGATAACATTTCAATAAAAACGTGTCTAATAAAAATTATCGTCAAGCCAACGATAAATTTTATTAGACACGTTTTCCTTTTTTTCCGGCTCGCGCCCCCCATCTTGAAGTATTCAATTTTTGATATAGTATTTCGAAGTCGTCGTGACCTAAAGGATCAGACGCTAGATGAATTCGTATCTAGCTATGCACCGGTGTTCGAATCCCGCAGGTGGGTACCAGTTTTTCTAATGAAATACGTACTTAACAAAGGTTGACTTCCACGGTGAAGGAATAACATCGTGTAATAAAAATCAAACCCGCAAAACTATAATTTGCGTAATTCCCGGTGGTAGGACGTCTTGTTAGTCCTCACGGGTAGGTACCACCACACTGCCAATTTTTGCCGTGAAGCAGTAATGCTTTTCGGTTTGATGTGCGTCGCAGCCGTTAGTTGACTAGAGATTAAAACTGAGACTCTAGATCTCGCCTCTCAAGGTGTGTGTCGACCTTGTTTACGCTCATGGGTTCCGGAAACCATTTAACCCCAGGTGAGCTAGGTCACCTCTCTAAGTAATAAAAAAAAGGCACCCAGGAAACATTGAAGAGTTCGCCTTGTTCAGTGAAAACCAAGATTGTTTCGCTGGTTCGGGGGCTACGATCATAAAAACGAGATGACTGGATCATCTCAAACAATCCCCAAGATGTTTGTTTTTTTTTCTACTAAAAATAGTATGAAGTGAAAAAAGATGAAGTAGGTAGTTGACGTTGTCAGATCTCGGCCGGAGTTCTACAAGGCTCCGCTTTTTCTCCGTTACTTTTCAGCTTATACATTAACGACACTAGATGAGGACGGTTTTTTTT